ACCATAAACCTAGCTCAAGGACCAAAGAATTGGAAATGTTTACTTTGCACAGGCCATATATATGCTTTGGGGGGGGGGCACATCTGGATCCTGGGTTGTATGTTGGACATTTCTTCTGGTTTAGAATCTTCTTTCTTATTGATTCCATAATTTTAAAACTGTCTCAAACATTATTAACAATAATTAATCTGCTCTCCACTATTGCACATCCAGGGCACAAACATTTTCTTAAAGTATAATTTGGCAAGTGGGCTTTAAACTTGGTATTGAAGGACAATTATTAGGCATTAAAATTATAAATCTAAAAAAATGTCCCATGATTTAGATTCAATGAACTACCTTCATCAAAGATTTCCTCTACATAAATTCTTGCTTATTATAATGTTTTATTGCATGGAAAACTCTTGAAAACTGGTATATAGTACTTAAGATATCAGTGCTTAAGAAACTAGAGTGCTTAAATCATGTATTTGTGGGCAGAAGAAAAACATTCAAGGGAAAGGTTCATATATCAATCAACGGCCACAGACACTAGGATTCTAAACTTGCAAAAATATTTCTTTAGGCAAGTCATTGGTACAATAAATTTGTCATTTGAAAAATTGTGATTTTGCAAATACTTTTTGAAATATCATAGGTTTGATAAAATGTGAACTTTTAGAAAGGTGTGTTACTGTCTTTTAAACCAGTTTCTTATAATAATGTCACTTACCCATTCGCTTCATTTGATTCTTTGGCTCATTTGAGGTAAAAGCCAATGCAAGCATGAGTCCAATTCCAACAATGCCAGACAAAAACCCTCCCTTGTAGAAATGTAAAGACAATCAGATTAGAAATGAGAAAATTTCAGTCCTGAAGATTATAAATTTAATAAAGAATACATGAGTTATAGCCGAAAAAGGGAAAGACAAAACTTGTAATCTTTTAAAGAATTAATAGAATATTCTTTTATAGAATCTAAACTTCTGAAAAGTTTCCTTAAGCTTTCCTATGAAAGAATATTTTGAGCAAATGCTGACCAAATATTGACTAATGTGATGATAAAGAAGAGAATTTCCTCCCTGTCAACTGAAACTTCTTCAGACATCCCTTTTACTTTTTTAAACAATTTGCTGAAATTCGTGGTGCTAAAGATATTACAAAGGGGCTGAAGCAATCAAAATTGAATTCAACAGCAAGTTATTAAAATCAATAAACATGTAATGTATAAGACAGGTTGCAAATTTCTCTGAAAAGCTGAATAAACTTACTTTTAGGACATCAGTAAATATGTGGACACCAGCACCACCAGCTGCCAAAAATGTTGACAAGGTGAGGGCAGCATAGACATTTTTCAAGTGACTACGCGTTTGTTGATCACTGAAAATTTTTAAATTGTTACAATATTAAAACAGTCAGAAAAATCAATCAGGAATTTAAGTCAAGAATTTTGAACATCTTTTGACATGGAAAATAAAATTATGTGACTTATTGGCATTTAACTTTGTACATAATTAAACAAGCAACTTGTTATGGCTGAAATAGGCATTTATTTATTGAGGTTAAAGGCGGTGTGTCACACTGTTTATTGGTTTACCAGAAACCAATAGTAAAATTTCTATTTCAGTGAGTTTTCATTTCGTAAAAAAGGATGTATCTTTCTTATTGCTAATTTTCCACACTTCTCTAATTTTGAGGACCTTTAAAATTCAACCAACAATAACTAATAGACAGTGCAATACGCTGCCTTTAACCGAGCTCTAAATTTAACAAATGTTCAAAAATGCCCCCAATGTCTTTGTGCTAAATTTTATTAACTTTTTTTACTAGCCAAGAATCAGATTCATTATGATACATTTTGAATAAACAACATATAAATCCAAGTTTTTTTAGCTCATTGAAATACATTCTTTTTAAAATAACTTTTTGTGAATCAATATTTCATATTGTAATGCAGCATGATGGCAATATTAGTGTATTTTTCATCATTAGTTTGACTGAATTGCATTTACTAGTTTGCTAAAATGATAAACATTTAATATAATCAAAGCAGTATTGTGAAAATCAAACATAACATAAATGCAAAATATCGTTGCAGCTATAAAGAAAATAGAAAATATGACGCAAGAATGCTACATATGTGATAAAAGATGCAAATTCTGCAAGTCATTGCCTGTTGTTTCAACAATTTTTTTCTTGTGCAAAATGATAACCTATTATTAATCTTTTTTTTTCAAATCTAGGCCGACAACTAGCTACTTGAGGAACTATGAGTTGCCCATTGAATAAAACGACAGGTTTATCTTACTTAATTTGGAGTAAGGCGATTGACAACAAACTGTTTTCTTGAACTTTCAAATTCTCAATATTGGGAGCGGTGGTAGGACAAACTCTGGATTGACCTGTTTTGGAAATGCATCGAACATTCAAGTGAAAGTTGGAAACTATTATTTAGCTTAGACCTATATCTTATTGATATCTGAGCAAGTTTTGAATTGATTGCACCCAAAATGTGACTTCTTAGAAAACATTTTGAAACAATCTTAGAGCTAGGCCAGGCCAAGTCAAGGCAAAACAAACAGAAGGGCTTTGAAAAGCGAAATAATTTCAATATGAATCTAAAGTTAACACAGTTCAATGCAAAAAAGTTATTCTGAAGACTTACAGTTGTGAAAAATCGGCCAAGGCCCTCAAAGAAATTGGTCTTTCACCAAAAACAGCATCCATTTTAAACTCCGCTTTCAGACTACTTTAGCTTTTAGTTTGTATGATTCCCGAGGTGCATTGCAGCTGTTTCTAACCACCAAGAGTGATGCTCTTCTCAGCGATTGGCTGGTGAAGGTCTTCTCGCATTACGTAATGATTTGAAAGTTTATTTCTCGAAAAACCTCTGATGGTCCCGAAAAATGGATTTACATTCTTTTGAGCTATGAGGGGAAAAGTAATCAACTTAACATAAAATGCAAGGATGTTTCTTGAAGCCACATACCACAGATGCAAGGATTCTCAAATCCCACTTAGATCTTGCATGTCATGTCAGTTCAAGAGGAAAGCCACATTATATATTTTCCTCGGCCAGGACTGCTGCAAACACGAACTAAAGAATAAACAGAGTATTCTCGTTTTAACATTCGAAAGCTTAAAAGTGTATCTGTCACTGATTCTTCAACCAGTTCGAAATGACAGTCTCTTTTCATTCTTTCTCTCCATTTTATTGCCTTCTTGCTTTTCTTCCTTGTTTTTCTTTTTATATCTACATTATTATGCACCAAAATCCCTTCAACTATTTTATATTCACAATAAACATAATCGAAAAGATCCAGGCTAATTACAGTGTTGCTCTTCCAGTTCCAAGTTGGCATGATTTCAGTGGCTTTCATTTCAACAAATATCTCATTGAATTTCAGGATTTGAAGATCTTCACAGAAACTGGTGATAGAACTAGGATATAAGGATCTTTGTTGTTCATGATCTCATTGGCCATAACTGCACGATCAAACACGATAAACGTCGTTTGACCATTTGTCTTTCACAAAGTCCCGATCGTCTATCGTTCGTAGAAGTACAGAAATGGCTCTGTTTCTGAGCACGTGTAAGGGATTCTTTCCATGATTCTGAGAGGCTACCTCTTAACGACATATATCATGTAATTTTCTCCAACGGCGGGATTAAGATTGCTCTACTGAAATCGTGTTGTTTTGCAACCGTTGTAAAGATGTAAGACCCAAAAGAATTTTTCGTTCACAGTTTTTCAAACTCGTTTTATATCTGAGTAATTTAGACTCGACCTTTTCTGTACCATGGGTTTTTTTAGTTTTACCCAATGAGGTGTATAGAATACGCTAGAGGGATAACTCTGTAGGGAGGCAGTGAGGCCTATCAATTTCCGCATTGCACGGCAAGAAGTGACTCACAGTGTATGGCGTTCTATTGCATCTCGCTATTAGGATTGTTGTTTCGTGCGTTTCTTTTTGGTCTAAGAATTGACAGACTGATAAGAAAAGACATTCTTATAATAGGGTTGGAAGTAAACGGCTCCCGCCAGTATTTCTACGGATATAAGTGGGGATGGATCAGTTTTACTTCACCGGTTTGTTGACGATTAGGCCTATCCTTACCATTAGGTTCTTCAATATTGTCGCTTTTCTGTAAAATTTATACATTTTTTCTTAAATTTTATTTCTTTGGTACTTGCTATATCCCTCCTTGTTTCATGACCGATGCCTTGCAAGGTGATCACTTGATACACCTCGTCAAAAATATCGGCTTTGAATATACGGCTGTTTTTTTGCGAAGGTATGCCAAAAAAATTAAAGAGAGAAATCATAAATAATAACAAACCAGGTATTCCCCTTCAGATCAACAAACTCGTTTTGTTTAACGGAGGGATGTTTAGGGACTGCGAAAAAACGCTACAGATCCTCCAAAATAACGGTCGGTACCATCACTGTTAATGTCCAGAATTATGCTTTACCTTCCAATTTTCCCTAAAATCCAATAATTTAGGTTCGTAGGTGTTTCAGATTTTCCAGTTTAATCACTTAAAACTGAATTTTCGCCTGAATTATTTGCTTAATTTTGCACGCTTCATACAAGAGTTTGTACGGCACTTCTCCGCTCTTGCCGTGCAAATCAGTTTTCTCCTGGCTTCACTTCCTGTGGTCAGGGCTGCCTCGAGTTGACCCTCTAGCGTATTATATACACCTCATTGGTTTTACCTTAGTTGTTCATAAAAAATAAAGTAGCAGATCTGTGCTGGTCATTGTCTTGTTTAACCTAATTTTTCTTGTTTTTTCAGTTTCTACTTATAACAGCCACCCTATTCAGGTAACACTGGTGGCACCAAATATTCAAGGTGACCAATTAATGTTTAAAAAGGGAAAGGTGATCTAAAAAAGAGGAATGCGGAGTCAAAGTCAAATCACAAATGTATTGCAACAGATTAGTTTCTTTTTTGCTTATTCTTGCTGGTAGAGCCTCATTCTGACCATAATTTCGTGGCAATCATAGGTTCTTCACAAAAACACTAGAATGGTTTATTTGTTCTGTCTAGTATCCCGAACAAATGGTGTTGAGACTTTCCACCCCCTCCTCCAGTTCAATGTTGGTATTTCCTCTATTAGAGCTCATAGCTACCAGCCTCATATTCGAGTAGAGGCGAAGAGGTTGGATTATGCCAATGAGGTACCTCATTGGATTATATCAGCATGTTTCCCGGCACACGTTTAGGTGTCTACGAATGTTTGTCCTAGAAACAAGTTCGATGCAGTCTGTACATTCAATCAACATTTCCTTGGTCTATACTTGAACAATAACTCAAAAATTAAACACTTCTCAGACACATCTGACACTTCTCAGAGCATAAAACTTTAGACTAAGGATTTGAAAGAACACGATGAAAAATATATACCCAGTTGTGGATCGAAATAGACCTATCAGAAAAACAGAAGCACAAGACCAGTTTTGTTGACCAATCAGTGCCACGTGCCTAAAGAAACTCAAAATCCTTCTCGCTTAAATTCATGAATTAATTAAATAATGAAAGCAAAATCACCAACATCGATCACGCAGTTCATTTATCACAAAAAAACACTCGTTCACTCTTTCCAGTTTTATTGCTTGTATAATCAGCTTAATTATAATCATAAAACCATACAGTTATAAACGTGCATATTCAAGTACTTTACGAAAACAAATTAACAAAGAAAAGGGTCTTAGTGTTATCAATTACCAGTAACTTCCGGAATTTACTTCCAAGAATTCGATAGAACATTATGACCGCTACTGAAAACATCTTATAACCTGTTGAAGTTAAAGATAAAATAAAGCATAAAATACACTTACAAAATTAAATAGCAACATAAAATTAGATAATCTTGTCTTGGCTTTGTTACCACCAGAGCAATAGGTGATACGGATCGGGGTCATCCCACCAGCTAGTGTTGTGTACCGTATTTGACAGGGAAGGTAAAGTGTTCCAGTGGCAATCGGAATTGAATATCTGAGAATGGATCGAAAAGAAATGGGACTGATAACTATAGCCCACCGCTTTTCTTTGACATTTTAATAAGGACTGAAGGTTTATGGGACTTGAATCGAATAGGAGGTTAGAAAAGGATGACCAAATGCTGGATGAAGATTTATAGCCAGACATTTTGACGTGCATTTGGGGGCAGAATTAGAGATTTGTTGACGCATTTCAAGGGCTTTAAAATGTAAATGCGTAAATATAATATTTGATTGTTGCTTCTGTCGCCTATGCTCCACAATGAGTTAGAATGCTATGCAAGAGGGCCTGAACATAACCTTTTGTCAACATCTAATTGGGTGTCAGGCAGTGTGTGACAAGCTACAGCAGAACCAATCACATGTTCATTTACGGTAAGGAGAAAACATCAGTTAGCTCTGCGCATTTAACTTGACATAATGCTTTGAAGGTTAACAATAAATGCTTATGGGAGGGGCATCTTGTTTGAAACAGTCTACGGGCAAATTATACACAAACGAAGTAGATGCTTTAACCGTGAAGGCATCTGTTAATGGGATTGACGAATCAATATACAGAGGTTACGTAATAAGTATTAAATTGAAATCCAGATTGGCTGGAATACAATCTTGAAGCGGTTACAAATAATGAAAAATACAAATGGCTACCATTGATAGAATAGCTACCATTAACTGAACAGCTACCATTGATGGCATGAAACCGATAATTACTTTAGCAAGAGTCTAAAAAGTCAGTATCAAGACAGCTGCTCATCCCCCCCCCCTCACAGATCAACCCATGGTTTGGAAACCTCCCTTGCAAAAAAATAAGCTGGGCTTTGGGCGTCCAACATTCTATTGTTTCCAATAACTTCGCTAGAAGGATCGACCCAAAGATTCCAAGCTTTGCTTACTCGCCCCTAGCAAAAGTGACAAGACGGGGCACTGCTTGGACTCACTCTAAAATCTTAATCTATGAGTATCAAGCCGTGCAGTTGACACATTACTCACTCAAAACTAAAACCTACTTGCTTTCCACAAAAGCAACGAAATCCTTTGGACAGTACATATATCTGATCTTTAACATATAAACCTATTATATCTAAATCTAGACAAAGAAGACGTACGTTTAAAGAAACAGTTCTCAAATCAGTAGACCCAGTTGACTGGCACCCACTGAGCGTCTGTGCTGAGTGTTTGAATCGAGTCCCTTAGCTTCTTGTACGTTTTCTCAAAGTCCTCGTTTATGATTGTGAGGTCGAAGTAATGCGAGTATAAGTCGTAAAGTTGCTGGCTTTCTTCAACAGTTTCAAGCAGTTCTTCGTCCTGCGAAAATAACAAAAGTTTGAAAACATTCGGCGTGGGCCTTGGACATGTTTTAAGTCGCTGTTTGGTTTAACTGAGTACAACCCTTATTCCTTTCAATTCGATTAAACGTTTCTCAAACAAGGCAACAATCAAATGCTTAAAAATAGTTTATTTATATCGATGCGACCCAAGACAAAGTAACGCCACTCGACCTTTGTTCACTAAAATTGCAATTTTAAATTCGAGAGAACATCCAACGTACCAAAAATATAAGCCGAAATTTACGACTAACTGCTTTCATGAAGCCACTAGACTACCCATGCAATACTAAGGGGTGTGGAAATTATCTGCAGCCACGAGTGCACAAGAATAAAAATCTTTCTGCATAAATTCCAATGAAATATCTTTCAAATAAGTCAACATGTAATGAATTTGCCTAGCCCCAGCCCGTCAATATATCAATATATTGTGCGAGGATGGCTCAGTGGTTAGGGTCGCTGACTACAGGTACAGACGCAAGGGTCCGTGGTTCGAGTCCCCGACATCACCAAACTTTCACCCAGAGTGGGGACAGTCGCCAGCTCTCTGTAATTCAAGGCGTAGGAATCACGAGGTGTGGTCACATCGAGAGGAAGGACCAGGACAATGCTCGATAAGCATAAGGGTCTCAGTGTCCTAAAACTACCTTCGGATGCTAGGTAGAAACAAATCAAATATTTGCGTTTGATATGAGTATACCCCATAGAGATAGGTATTATCTTATTTCTATGGTATAGCCCAAGTGCAGATTGAGGCCCAAAACTATCAAACTTTGGCTGACTAGCGTTTAGGCAGTACTCAACCCGCCAACTTCAAAGAAAATTCTTTGCGCTTAAACCATAGAATTACACCAGCGAAAACTTGCATATGAACTTAATTCTCAAGGTGTTAAACGATTGGCTTCAAACCCAGCAAGCATTTTTAAAGAGAGAACTCGAAGCATTTCATGAAAACACATAAAAGCAAAAACGGCCTACAGGGATTACCGTGAACATCTTTCCAGAGTAACTTGTTGTGTTCCTTCTTTTCAAAAATTCGAAGCTAGGCGAGGCTACGAAAACCACATAAGGCATGAATTCTGCAGTTTTTAAAACTTTCAGCGCCTGAAAGAAAAACCACAATCTACATACAACGAATATCTACAAAAAGCAAAAGTGTTTTCTTCATAGTGGTTTGAAATATACTTTTGTGGTCCTGCACATTAGAATTAAGGCTCTGGGAATTCAAAACTTTGGACATCCTCAATTTATCTGATTGAATTTGAAACAGTGCAACCAAGTCCTATTATGCATGAATACTGACTACTCAACAAATTAGTTTTGGGTATAAAAACGACAATATGGAGGGATAACATATTGCATTTTGCTTTCTTGTGACAAAAACACAACTTATATACAGGCCCACCGAAAGGGGGGAGGGGCAAGAGGCGCAACTGTCCCTGGGCTCGTAAGCAAAGAGGGGCCCGCTGGTAATTGAACTATCTCTTCTTAAATCATGACTCTAAATAACATGGTAATTAAAAATCATATCTTTATGGGAAATGGGAAATGGGAAATGTAAATGCAAAAGTTTAAAAATGCAAAAAGTAAATAAAGGAAATTTTATCCATTTTAGATCAATATTAAACGCAATTTAGGTTTATTGCTTTGGGTAAAAAGGGTCCAAGGACTGCCCTTGCGCCCGGCTTGCCTCTCGGAGGCCCTGTTTCTACAAGACACAAATCCCTCTAGTCTCAAATCAGGAAAAAATTGTTTTACAAGTGACGATTCACTTACAGTCGGGTTCAAATCCAAGATACACATTTTGCCAGTGCGCATTACGTTTCGTATAGAGTCAATTTTCGTTCCATAAAGGTGCTCTTCATATTCTCCCCACTCAACAAACTTCCCCTCGTCAATATCTTTCTGCATTTCAGCTCTTGAAACAAAAATGTATCCCTTGCCGTTCTCCTCTCCAGCTTTTTTCTGCCTGCTTGTATCTAAGATGAAGAGAAAGCTGTATGATACAACAGATTATTTGATATGATTTGAACAGCTTTAATTTTCTGATGTCACTGGTATCGTGAAATAGAATGGACACTGCTGTAGAGGCAAGGACAAAAATACCTGTAGGGTACTACCACGGGAGCCTACTCGTGGAGAGAAAACGTGGAAAATATCTTTACTGTCAAATTGACAAATAAGATCAAATCGACAACAACAGCTGTGGTTGACTGGAAGGGCTTGGAAAATCTAGCTATTAATGTTCCATGACAAGACAAGACAGCCTGTCAAAGGTATTCGTAGAAGGAAGATTCAAAGGGAAGGACCAAAAGAAAGGACTTGAATCAGAATGCTGGATTCGGTGATGGATGGCTGCTACGGGAATTTGAAAAAAAGCCATTAAATGTGAGATCTAATTAAGTTGGGTCTACTATCAGGCAGATCACTCAGAGAATGCCTCAATGCTGACAGTTCAATAAAGAAATAAATAAAGACAAATTAAAGAGGTACTTTTAAACCTTAGAAAATATCATGGGTTCTAAGATTTGTCAAAATAGATAAAAAATAACACATGCTATAATCAACAACAAGCTAAAATAAAAGACTATCAAAAGGTTTACAGTATGCGAAAATAACGGAATTCTTACGTGGAACAGTGGTCCCAAAGACTTCTGTGTCGGTAAGCAATTTATTCTTAAGAGTCCTTCGACCAACTCTTGGGGCACCTACAAAAGATAGCACCGATTAAACGCACGAAGTCACATCCGAGTGAAGAAAACGGTACCCCACTTTCGTGGTAAGGAATGTGATTTTAAAAGCAAATAGCAACAACTTTAATTTAACGAAACACTGTCATACGCACCTATTAGGACGAGAGTCTTCCGTTCAAACGGTGGCATCTTCGCTACTTCCTCATAAATCGGGACATTGAGGCGGTCAAATGCTGCAAAAAATTATATATATATACGACTGTTGATAAATAATAAAGTATGCAAAAGAGGCAGGATAAAATACTTAGAAGTGAGTGGTAGCCTTAATATATAAATGATACCTAGCTTTTGGTATTTTATTATATTCAAGGAATTATGTTTTTGCAAAAAACAAGCAAATGGAAAAATTTCATAATACATTATAGCTACACTTCCATCTTGTTTTGAAATAAAGCAAAATTTGATTTGGAAATTCACATTAAAGCTGATATAGTTACCTGCATTTTTCTTGGCTGAATACATCATTTTTCTCTTTTTACTTCGAGATCCTCCACATCTTATAACTGAGATATGAAAAGGAGTTTTTATTACTGAATGTGATGAAAAATTTTGAATGATATAATTACATTACATGAACTGTTATAATAGTATTTAGATAAATAGCCTTAATAGTAATATAAAATCATAGCAGATAAATAGCATGAAAAACATATCTTCAAATTTAACAAAACAGATATTAATTCTATTGGAAAATGTTCCACAATGTATTTGAACTTTGTGGATGCAAAACTAAAGAAAATATCAAATGTCAAAAAACAAATGAAATGTGCAAACAGGAAATAGCTTGATTTGGGTCTCAATATCAAAATTAATTAAATAATCTTCTCCCAAGTACAGTTTAGAAAACAAAGAAAATTTACTTATTCTATACAATGGTTACTATTTCTTGTGCGAAATTCTAAACTTACTTCTTGAAGATTTGTGTTGAGGTGTTATTTGCGTTCTTCGACTGAAAAATGCAAGGTAAATAGTTGGTAAAACAATGTAGGTATTATATACGAAAATACTAAAGTCTATATAAAAAACACTTTTCGATCTTGATAACAATGAATGTGATGCATTCAAACATAGATATTAATAAATATACATGAATGAATACCTTTCTTCGAGCATTTGGCTTGGAATAAGTCCAGTTTTGCCACCTTCGTATGTACGCGCCTTGGAAATAGATGGAAGGAAACCTGACACTAGATACTATACATAAACATATAAACAGTTAAAAATAATCATCATTGTCTGACAACCATCATCAAAGGTAGAATTAGTAGCAATTAAACTGTAAACTTGTAAAATTTTTTGACTGTTTTTGACAAAAATTATCAACATCAAATTGCTGATAGTCGACAAACACGAAGGTTTGCCGTAACATGAAACGTTGGGTGATAACCGAAGGAAGGAAGAGCTTTTATTTGACCAATCAGTCAACTTGAAGCATAACTTAAGATTCCTTGATAAATCTTTCTAGGATAAACATTAGAAGCATGCAAATTGCTATTTTCTGGTATGTATGAGATGCCATTCATACCTGCCACCAGTTGGCATCAGATTGATCAACGATTGCTAATATGTCTCCTTTCCTAAACGACAGGCCAACATCATTGCACGGAACCTCCTTATCCTTTGTCGCATCGTAATCAAAATGTGTTTTCACGTATATCTGCAAATGAAATGATGAAATTTTACAGAAATATTCTTGAAAATGGCTTTGAAAAAAGCAAACATTGAAAACATATTGGCTGGCTAAAAGCTTTTTCATCTGACACTCCTCAAAGCATGAAACGTCAGAATAAGGGTCCGAAAGAACACGATGAAAAATATACACCCAGTTGTGGATCGAAATAGGCCAATCAGAAAAACGCAAGCACAAGACCTGTATAGTTGACCAATCAGTGCCGCGTGCCTAGAGAAAAATTGCCACTGGAGTCCAAGAGGGAAAACGAACTCCTTCTGTCTACACAATGGCGGCGTTTTCGTTTGTATGTAGATCGATTCCAAAACTGCTAGATGGAAGGACGACCGGGCTCTGCCAATTATACGAAACATGTCGTCTTTATAGAGTTTGGCACAATCTGGGTTATCTAAACTATGTTGACTGATGGCAGAATCACTTGGTTTAACAGTACTAGACCTATAAGATCAATGAGGCTGTTATCTTTGAGGGGCATTTTTGTTTCTTATGTTGGAAGGAGCACGCTGTTTTATCTAAGAAATATTCTTTCATGTAGTCGATGTTTTAGTCATAATATCATAATTTCTAGAAGCTAAATGTGTTTCTAAGGATATTGGAAGATTTTACCGTTGAAAAATACAAGTAAATGCTGGTAAAAAACCTTCTCAGATGACCAGAATGGGAAACATCGGAGTAAATCATTAACTATATTTTTCCATTGAGGATGGCATTGAAAATCTGTGAAAGGGTGTGAGGTGTAGCGAAACAAAAGAAGCTTTACCCCAGCTAAGGACAATCATAAATGAACTACTTAAACTCACTGAAATAATTTTATGATTGAGAAAAGATTTGTTTGTGCTCAATGAGACAAGAATGCTGATTTTCAATGCAAGTTCAAGCAAATGCAATTTTTTTGATATATCTTTAACTGATATATCCAACATAAACCAAATAGAATTACGTGATTACACACGATGAACGATTATATTTTGTTCTCAATCAAGGAATTTCGGGTTACAATATCTATTTGTAAATCTATAAAAACGATTCAACTAATTGAAACAATTTGATTAAGTCAGAACGCAAAACAAGTCAATGTGTTTCAGGCTACAAAACCAGAGCAAGAGACTGTTGCCTTGCTTAATGAAAGCAAAAATTTTAGATGATGAGCGAGAAGCGTAGTTAGCTCAAATAAACTAAAAAGCACTAAATCGTGTAAAAAATATAAAGTGTTCTTAAACCAAAAAGGAATTGACAATAATTTATTTAACAACTGTAAATTTTCATACCTGACAAACTCCTTGGTTATCACGATAGCTTGGTATTATATGCAAAGTTATGTTACCACTTGCGTTTTTCTATGATGTAAACAAACATGTCATGCTACAAGCTTAAGACAGCAATATAATATTAACCCATAAAATTGCATTTACTGTATCTGATATTTGAAAACTGTAAAAAGTTGAACCAAAGTTTTTAAGATGTATGTTTAGCAATAGGGGAAATGTGAGACTTCTCATTTAGATTGGATGATACAGTGAGGCCTAGTTGTGACAGGATGTATCATGTGTGTGGAAAGCTTAAGAGGATGTAGAATATGTTGTATTTGACCATCACAACAGAATCAAACTATAAAACAATTTCATAATGATCCACTTCTCATCTTCATCATTAAGGTACAAACTTCCAAATTCTCTAATATTCTAAAAAACAAACAAAAACCTATAAATGGAAATCTAATATTGTGAAAACCTATAGCAGAGTACTTTACAGCTACTTACAAGAATTGCTAGAATTGCATCAGGATCTCCTTTCACTTTTTCACCATTGACTTGCTTTATGACATCACCTACATGTAGCAGGCCTGAAAAATGGTGGCTTTTATGTTATATAATATTATTTACATTAAAACACACCAAAACAGAATCAGCTCCATTCCTTCCTGGACATTTCGTTATCTTCTTTCATAATAAATGCAAAACATAGCAATGCAATGTTCACTCACCTAAAATCAAAGACTGAATATGATCTGCTTTTTTTAAACTTGCTAGATTAGATTATAGGGTCAACAACCAATTAAATTTGCAACATTACAATATCCTTCTGCTTCAGAAAAGAAAAATCAAATGCACAATATTCTGTAGGTGTTTGGTTTCCATTAACAATAGGTACTGTGGAGAGTTCAAAACATGAGTGGAAATAGCCAGTTGGCTGCAGCCAATTTATAAACAAATGTTTACACTAAGAGGTTTAGCTTAAATTGAACAGTTAATGGGTAATCTCCCTTGTTCCTACTCTCATCTATAGTCCCTGTTTGTCATCTTGAGTTTAGGTTCTGTTCATAGCTGTTTCTTTTTTGAATGTCAACCATATTAAGTGCTTATGGAATGTGTAAAAAGTCTGTTGCATAGGTCACCCAAAGATAATTTTGGTGATCACCACAACTCATCTAGACATAGTGTATGCTACTTAAAAACTATTACACAGAAAGAATACCTTGCTTGTCAATCAAACTGCCATGAAGAATTCTTGCTATGTAAACATTCATTTCATCATCAACAGCCAATGTAATCCCCTGTTGAAGAAACATCTCTAATTCACCAACAATAAAGGTTCACTTAAAATTTGGACTGAATTTGATAAGTTAATAGGGGGTAAGGAATACTTTTAATAAAATTCATCATCATATATACATAGCATGATGCAAAGCGAAGCAAGAGGCTAAGGTTTATATGGATCATCAGGGAAATATGTATGGAATAATCCAAATGAATGTACTAATCTTTCTGAGAAAAAAGATAAAAGAAATTGCAACCAAGAAAGCAAACATGATGGCTTTGTACTGTCAACTGCATGTTGGCATTACCTACAAAAATTTCCAACTCTTTGCATGTATCAAAGAGAATAAAAATATAGAAAATGGCCTTTATCCCTGATTCATTCAAAAATCCACATGTTGGTTGATAAAAAACAATGACTTACTAATGGTTCACTTGATGTTTTGCAAAGTCCTATTATCCGTACAATTGGTTCTTTAGCAATAATTTGATCAGTGGCTGCACTTCCTGCAGGTGTCGCTTCTGGCTTGTATGTTCGGAACAAAATATTATCGTGAGCCTCAACTAAGCTCTGAGAAAAAAACAGAAAAAATTATGATTTGTCAGCATTAATCATGATTATCAGATAGAATAAACATGATACAAACATCAATTTATCTCAACAGCTGTTACGCTACTACTGAAAATTCTTTGTAGGAGATTTTGATTATTTTGACAAATTTCTCATTCTTTGTTGAATGTGTAGTGCTCTGTTATGCAAAGAGCAGGCTGTCACAATATCGTTAGAGAAGACCTACAGCTGTTTTATCTCTGTCATTATTCTCATAAAAGGACCATGAGAACATTATAATGAGGTTAATTTCTTTCTTTTGTGATGCTTTTGAGAAACATTCCCTAACTTCACTGCATGCTATCCTGGCACCATAAACTGTATCTAAGGTAGGTTTCAAAAATACAGATAGATCAGCGATTATAGCCTTCTATGATTAGCAGACTGAAATGATCAACCTTGCCATGGGCTAAAATTTCTACAACACAAAGACATGGTTTGTTAACAGGCAAACAAAATGCTCATAGGCCAATAAGAATCATGTTCATACCCGGAAATGAGGTCCTTCCATTATCTTGAAGAGCTCATTCACCCTGTCATCTTTGTGTGCCAATGGATCAAAATTTGTCAAAATCTGAAGAAAAAAAATCCAAATTTAAAAAAAAACATACTGTGTGACTATAAAAAAAACAAACTATGATAGCCTTAAACGAACATAAATCTACAAGTTATAAATTAAAAATTTACACTTAAAATAAACTGCCTATAACATCACAGTACTTGGGATCAATTCTGAAAGATTAAAAACACATTACAAAATTTCCATATTAGAGAACACATTAGAAAAAGACCAAGCTATCAAATACTAATAGTTATAAATCTGGTACAAAGTCAATGATAAATAAACATTTCATATATATTTGAAAGATATAGCCCCTTTAGTTCTCTTAACAATCAACAAAGTTTAAGTTATGTACAAGACATCATCAAGAATGCTGACAAACCTCCTTGCAAAGCTCTATATTGTTTCTTTCATCCTCATCCTCTCTAGGATTTTCCAAAACATCATAGGCCTAATTTAAAAAAAAGAGATTAGAAAAATACTAAATAAAAGTGTTTTTACTTCAAATACAACAAAGATAAATAGAGGACTCGACCAATTGATCTTATTTTTGGACAATATTGAAGAATTATTGCCTTAAAAAGACAATAAATTGAACTCATAAAAATGCTGAAAGACTGAAAACTAACTAATGGACCCTTGTTGCATTGATGGTACATATTGCTTGTAATCTAAAAGTGCAATGCAAACACCAGATCAACATCTTATTGACAAAACTATATCATACCTCTGCCAATGTGCCCAGAGTTGCATCAGAAAGAACATTTTTCAAAAACTGCACATCCCGCTCACTTTCAAACAGATCAGCATGTCCACTGACATCCAAAGACTTTGCAATTATCTTCAATGCATCTAATGGGTTGGAAAAATCGAATTAAAAATCCTAGCAAAAATGTTACAAAAATTATCCAAGCAAGAAATGCTCTTTGCGACATTCAAATCTCAAAAAGAAATTCACATTTCATTATGCTATTTTGCTCCATTTCATATTTTTTTTTTCTAAATATACATGAAAACCAAAAAACAGATAAAAATATGGATAAGAGAATGGTTTACAGTGAGCAACCTGGGCATATCTATTAAACGTGTGTTTTTTCACAACAGCAATTAAAACATTCATGTCCCACTAAAAATGTCAAGCTACACCTTACATAGTTGCAAAGTATTATTGATTTTAAAAACATTGTCTGCAAACAGTGCAAACAGCTGAGTAAAAGCTTTTTCCTGTCCACTTGATTCTTCCCAAGTTTTAACCAAAATGCCAAAATCTTTAAGTAAAAGATTTCAAAAGCAATTTCAAGTTTGTAAATGAATAACAGAGAAATGTTTTCCAATCATGCATTAAACGTCAGTGCATTAATAATATTTTGAAATGAAACTATTTGAAAATTCACACTTTGAGCTTGGAAAACATCAAAACCTAATCAAGTGGTGATAATTTCAAGCCCTTAAAAAACAGCTACTTGAACATATCAAAACAAAATTTATACCTGTATTTTCATCAGATGAAAATACAGATATTTTATTTTGCCTTACAAGTTCTATGAAAACACAAAAACTGAAAAAATATGTTCAGGCTTAAGGCTGATTTGCACTCAGAGCTTTTTGTCGCGCGCACGACTTAGTGCAATCGATTTATTGTGATCGCTTGCTAGTTTCAATTTCCATTCATAACTCAATTTGTCTGCTAGATTCACCACAAACTAAACAAAGGTGGCGGCAATCAACAGCAGGCTCTTTATTTCACAGAGACTCAAGCTCTTGCTGCAACCAACTGGTTACGTCCATGTTTGAGATGGAATCAAATTAATACAAAATATATTTTCATTGTTAAATAGCTGTAAACAAGATGTTAAAGTTAAAACCTTTTCACTTAAAAATAATTGTTGAGCATACCTATATGCATAAACACAAATCAACATGTGAGGGGAAAGGTATAGCTAGCTGTGGGCCTATGCCATCAAATCAACTTGCTAGGATATGTGGCAACATATCATTTTTTGCCTTGTTCTTTATATGACCTTAGGCCAGCACCAGTGTTCCACAAACAAGGTTCGTTTCTGACAAGATCTATAATACACTAAGTATCAATCTCGATGTTTCCCCCTATAACTGTGTCAATATGGACGTTAGTAGTTGGACAAATATTTAAATTTGCATCTTTTTGAGGGAAAAAAGTTTCATCCGCAATATTCTCTGAGCTAAGACCAGCAGGATTCGCTGCGAGAAGAAGTTGCTCTATCGTAATTTACGACGCCATCATGTTGACTGCCATCTGAAAACTTTGTGTTGTTTTTGTGTTGGACAAGATCGTCTTGGTGCGGTTTTTGAGGATTTTGATTGGCTAGTGATAATCCTATGAGGCAATCAATTGCAAAAAGAAGGATGGACTTCTACTTCTTTTTTCGATCGGGCACTTCGACTTAGTGCGTAAAAACATTGTTGCATGCACGCACATCCATGTAAGCAATCTCAAAAAGTCAAGCACGCGACAAAAATCACTGAGTGGAATCAGTCTTAAGGTGGCAATAGCATAGAGTCATGGGTGAAGAGAAAGCAGTTGCTCTCCCTTTTTTAGGAAATTTGTGCTGAGAAAGGCTTACGTAATACCAATGGTTACAGCTATTGGTTTACGCAATACCAATGGCAACCTTGTATGACTACCTGGAGTTATTCATGGCTTCTATTTAGTGTTGTTAATATTTTCATATATGCCAAAAGTGAATCACACCATTAGAATCTTCATGTTGAAATTAGTCTTTGCTGAAAATTTTCCTGATGTTTGGACAGTTAGGTCAAGTAATAAGCCATTTAAAAACATAGCTCTTCCCTTTATATTTCACGGTATTTTCTGCTGCAGCAAAAAAATTTACCATCTTTCACATAAGTTATATAGGGATTTGTTTGAATTGAAATATCAAGAGGTGCTAGCATATCTCACTAATGCTAAGGAACCCATGACAGAGAAAACACCTGAATAAGCAACAGGTTTGCTCACTGCACACATGGAAGTTACTAATATAGAAGTACCGAAAAACTAACAAATAAGACTACTGCTCCTTTACTGTTACCACAACAGTCAGTTTTGAGGCTCAAACTTCCGAAATCAATCCATTACAGTAATAACAAATTGCAGGTAGTTAATGGAAAGCATAACAAACAGTTCTTCGCCAACGGGATGCAATTAAGAATTTATAGCCAAATCATTCCCTTTAAGTAGTTACTTAATTGCTCCACAAAACAGCGTTTGGTTGATGCGTTGACTCAGGCCATACAAACATTATCTTGACAGTGGAAGAACTTCTGCTTTGGTTAGTCGTTAGAAAAAGGCGTTGTTCCCGTATACCAATATACCAATCGGAAAAAATGCAACTATGTTCTTAACTTAACCTTGTTCCTGATTAAAATATAGTTAAAAAATAATGGATGAAGACTCGATTGACAACGTTTGTGTACAATTTTACAATTATAATGCCATAAAAATCACAAGTTCGCAACTTTTGAGATCAAGATAGGCCTATTTTAGTGGCAAAGCTTTTGAGAACAGTTGCGGCATTGATAATGCGGTGAACCACAACCGAAAGCCTACCTTGTGTGGAAATCTCTGTCGGTACCGGCATTTTGTCAAACACAGAGGAAAATGTCCTCAAAACTGGCAAATGAAGAACTTATATGTCGGCTTTACTGCACAACTGCCTCCACCTGCACAACATCACAGCATTATCAAATTGAAAGTCCAATATGAGAGGTTCGTAATGACAGATTTTGATTGGTTGACAAAAACAATCTGGAGACGGTCCTTTGTTTGAGGAAACTTTCAGCAAGTCTCAACCGCAATCATATTGTTGACGAAAAATTTTCGTTGCAAAAACTTTAAAAAAAAAGCTTTGCAGGAAGATTATTCAATGCAAGGAAGTTTGAAACTGGCATAATATAATGCTTTCATCGCAAGGAAATTATCGTATTTTTACTCTTTTTCAGAAAGACACTGACAAGAACATTAAACTCATTTTGCCAAAAAACCACGAATAATCGATGTGTTTTTGAAAATTTACCCTCCAGTTAGCATAAACCACAGAGTTTATCAGTCAACTTACTGTGTTACTAAAAATGTCAAGGAAAACCTTTATTTAGTGGTGTTCCAAACAATTTCTAGCATGTAGTTGTAGAAAAATCAACGTTGAAACATATGTACATCCTTTAAAAACCCCTGAGTCTCAAATTATCCACGAAAGAAAAACATCGAGGATAGACAAAATTGTCTTGTTTTAACTAGTTTAAAAAAGTGTGTAAAGCAATCAAAATCGGACACAATTTTTTAAATCGGTATCATTACCTGAATGCGAGCTAGTCGATTTTTAGACATCAAGATCAGAAATAAGAGTATTTAGAAATGTCTTGAATAGAGTTCGCTTATTGTTTAATAGGAAACGCTCCGTTTGCTTAAATTATTAAATTGTCGCATAATGTTATGAAATGAGAATGTTCTAAAAACGGGGGCGTCAATTAGACGTTGATCGTTGCTTCTCTTTGGAACATTTTTGGCACAAGCTTCATCCACACATTCCTATTTCAGTAAAAGATCAATCTCTTTTTATTGCGAAGAATTTAGTAATGCACTTATGTCTTTTGCGATTGATACAATAATAGTTTTAATGAAACGAAAATTGAAAGGACCTTTGCTTTTACCCATATTTAAATTGAAGCATTTTTTAGAGAGAAGCTGTAAGATAAGAGTAAAACCTCCACAATCAGTGAGCGACTAAGGCTTGAAGAATTTCACAGGACCGTGAGCTATCAGATTCATTATATATCAAAAGTAATAGGGAATATCACGTGAAAGTGTATTCCTCATTCACAGAGCCCCTAGCCTGATGGCCTCGTACAAAGTAAGCCGGAATCAATATATTGATTGGCTCTGTAGACCATTACTTTCACAGTAGGGATATCCTTCTCTATATGTCGAAGCTGTGTACCAGAGACACACAAGATTATTACAGAAAGATTACTTCTGTGGGTTAAAGTGCTTTGTAAATTGTGGAAATGTGGAATTAAGGCACTTTCTTTGAGGCAAAATATTGTTGCACAGTAAAGGCCGGTTTTCATATAACGTATTACGACGCATTTCATCGCAATACAGGGTCCATGATTTTCACGGTATAAGAAAAACGAAAAACCTATTTCATCTTAATTCATCGTAATTCAGCGTATTTTGCCCGGAGAAACAAATTTTTTTGATATCTTCCGATGAATTACGTTCGATTAGGATTATTTGCGATAGGTGGTTTTCATATAATTTGGTCAGTTTTCATATAACGGATATAATCTTAATTGATTGTAGACTCTGAATTGCGATTAAAGACATCGAAATATGCTATATGAAAACCAGCCTTAACAAAAAGGATCGGCGAATGAAGATGGGACGTCCCATCCCACAAAATAATTCTTCTTCAATATGAAAGGTTCCAGTAGCTAGAACTTTTGTATAAAAATTTGCTACCATTCCTAAAAATTGAGCAATGTCTGTTTAGATGATGCGATTAGGATTCATAAGGTTAAAAATGTATTATTTAATGATAAATAGGATTTGGACGAATATTATTGTACCATCATGCTTTTCATGTTGGGGGTGTAATACCCCCACCCTTGTAGCCACGCTTTCTAACGAGAGGTCTTTGGGAGACTTGTAGGCACCATAAGATAAATGTATCTATTTGGTTGCCTTCCATATTTTTCACCATCAGTCAGTTCAACAACAGATCCAAGTCAAAGTAGTACAACTGATGTGCGACTTGAGACTTCTGTAAAAACATATCTGAAAGAAATCAAAATATTATAAAGCAATTCAAAGGAAAGCGGTGTTTCCTATCATAGTGAAAGACTAATAAATTCATATTAGAGACTTAGGCAGAAATGGTGCATTACATTTGAGATTCTCATTCTGGTCCAAGTTATGCACCCTATTCAAGATAGAACTTATACAAAAGCGGTCCAAAATATCTTGCTGCTATTAAAGTAATGTCAAACGACTAGTTTTACCAAGACTGTTCGATAACACAAAAAATTCAAGATCGCCGTTAAAAATACTGCAAATCAACTGAAAACACATTTATTCTCAAAGTGCACCAATTAATTCTAATCATTTATGTCTAATTCATCTAGTTCTAAATCGTCAACATCCTCGTCAAAAAGACTTTCTTCCACAGGAACGCCGTCTAAAACAATTTGTTCGTTTTCATTGCCAACTGCTGCGCAGGCTTGATCTGCACCGTTGATGTCTGCAGGAGCAACAGGCTGGACCTAAAATCAAAATGGCGACTGTGAACAGCAGATGCAGACGACATAAAACAACAAAAATGGTTTACAACCATACTTAAGCCTTCTGTATGACAGTCTTCATGGTATAAAACATTAGAAAACACAAACTTCATATATCAAAATTCAAAACAAAATTTAGAGCCTCAATTACAAAACTGAGCAGGATGTTATAATTGTTTCAAGTGATAAAAATTTGTCAGGTTAACGAAAAAAGAAAATTGGCACCCATAAATTTATAATAGTTGAGTTTTTTCATCTATCTACTATGCCAAGTGTAAAAAACAAAAATTCATTACAAATTTGTGCAATGCCAACGTTGTTTGAAAAGCTTGAAAAGTTTGGCTGCCAATGGGGAAAGGGGGGGGGGTGGTTAGGTAACTGCTGAGCTAAAGCCCCCCTTTGCGCCCCGTGTCGCCACTTCCGACCTTTGGTACCGATTTATAATCGTTATGTGAAGAGAGAGCAGCGGTGCTAGGAGCTGGTGGATATTTTGCAATGAAATCAAAGAGAGACAAGCTCTAAACAGATAATAGCCTAGGTTTGGAAATTTTCAACTGGTCGATACTGTTTTTTGGATTTGTTCATAAGAGAACTTTGGCGAGATTAGACTTTTACAAGGAAAAAGGCAAACAATTTCGTATCCCCTTTTCTGACCAGCATAAAAAATATTTTTCTTCGTTGAATATTCGATTCATCTTATTGTACAGAGTGTAAATACGTCATCAGCTTTAAATGAAACCAAGGACCGTTGCCAAAAAATACTATCTATTAAGCTTCATTAAAATTTGAATGGTCACCAGAAGTCTTCAACAATAGCAGGTTACTGAATATGAAAAATTCAAGATGTGATTGATTTACTTTAAACTTTTTCTGTAGGATATATATCCTAAAAGTTTTAATTCTAGGGCCAAAAACGTGCTGTCATACATCCATATTAAATCATACTGCTGTCTTTTAACAAGAAAATCTAACAATACCTCATCGCCGGGGGCCCTAGGACCGTCTTTCGATTTCGCTTTGGTTCCGACTTCGTAGCTCTCTTCGCTAGGTTTTGAAAACGCTTCAAGTGTGATTTCAGTGACAGGCGTATCATCCTCTACCTGAAAAAGAGATTTTCCAATTCATGGATATGGCAGAATAGGAATTAAATTTATTAAAAAATACTATAGCATTTTATCGCATCACCCTCCATCGGAGAAAGAGGATGTTTTGCAAGTTATGGGTGTGACAGGAAAGAATTGAAATCTAATAGAAAAGAAATCTACGAGTGTTCATTCTTCGACCAAAAATCGTCCGAAATTCCATTAACACTCTATTTTCAATAATTTCCATCACCTTTCCACTAAATATTACCTTTCTCCAATAATGCTTTGACTAAATTATCAGGGTAACGTACAAATAATACAAAGTAGGGTGGTTTAAATTCAGAATAAGTAATAACTTACTGTTTAAGCTATCCAGAGAATTAAATTATGATACTATGCATCAATGTACATTATTTTTACGAAAAAGTTTTGTTCAAGAATGAGATGTGGCTCAAATTTCTATAGGGAAGTTTGGAAACTGGAAACCTTCTGCCTGGGTAAAAGAGTTTCCATATCCTAAGGATATGCAGAAATCTCTCAACAGCCATTTGCTGACACACATTCTCTAAGGAGAATATTCAGCAATCGGCTGGCTCTTGTCTATTATGACCAGCTATATTTATAATTATGCAAAATATGTGTAATTTATGCAACCAAAATGGTTTCATTCTTATTTTCTCATTAGTATCTGCACCGTAAAAGTCGAGAAAAATAGAACGTTATGGCTGAGCTCAACTTTTAGAAACCTTTAAGAAGTTCACTAGTTATATTTTCAATCAACAAAGAACTGTCCATCAAAAAATTCAATCAAAAAAACTTGGTAAACTTTTTGACAGCTCGGCGTATGGACATTTCCCATGTATCAGAACATGGAAACTTTCAGGCGCCTGGGGCGTGGTCTTCTAGTTTTACAATCTGTAGAAAGGCAAAATTTCAACCAAAATTATCATGAGAAGCAAACTCGCTGTTCATGATTATGACTTGGTATATTTGCGATCACACAAAGTTCGCCTAGACTTGCCATTTCTCTCTTGTACAGATTTGGATCATCTGTAGCCTCCTCATCGTCGTCCCCGGCCATTTCTGGCTTGAACAAGAAAAGCTCACGACCGCTGACCTAAAATAAAGAACACCATTTAATGGAGCGAACAACAAGATTTGGTTCAATTGTTGCCATTCTCAATATAACCTTGAAAAAAGGAAGGCAAATATTTTACGACAAGCAAATGTTTTACAAGAGCTTTCAGGCCCCTCGTTTAACGCAAATTATAGTTGTTTACTTTATCTTATTTCTCATGTTTCCATAGAAAAGTGTCTTAAATTAGGGAAAAAACGATGATAATAATCTATACTTGAAAAACCATAGTGGAAAGCTATCTGTACGTGAGGCTGTCAAGAAAACACAGGTATATGTGGGTAAAAGATATCGAGTGTTTAACACTTCACTTTGAACAATATACATATGACACTTTTTAAACTTATTCTCGAATATAGCGGAAAAAACAGTTCGCAGTGCTGTATGATACTAACGATGATTAGATTTGATATGGGTACCCTAAAGGAATCCCGTCCTGCCAAAAAATGAACGAAGACAGTGGTCTCCTCCGTATATTGTCAGTTATTGTAAATTCAAACAAAAGATAAAGAATCACATACTCTGCCAACAGATTTGCCTCGCTCAAGGTCTTCCTTTTTCTTTTTCAGTTCTCTCTCTCTTTGGTCCTTTTTATTTTGAATCTAGAGGAATAAATCAAGCTCAAATTTAGATCCCGTATGTATAGAAGTAAGCAAAATTATGCATTCACCTAACGAGCTCGTAGAAGACAGACATAGGCGTAGAAGACAGGTAGGTTGCTGTTTCCTGAGTAAAAGAATTCGTTTCCATCCTTTAACACAGGTACAAAGTTATGGCTTTTTGTAACATCTTTTGGGGGGGGGGGGGCAGCTACAAAACATGTTCCAAAGTGTCCACCACAGAGTTTTTAATTGAGTTTTTCGAAGTTTCTTCCAAGTCTACAAATATCGGACAGAGAGAGCAATGACCTAGTGCAGGTGCAACCTAGTGATGAGACATTGAGCAAAGTAATGACCTTCCTCATAGCACGATTAATGAAAATGATAACATAATCGTGGATGTTATCTGAGGTGACCTAGACAGCAAGCGAAGCCTCAAGAAAAGCAAAATCTTAGTGGCTATTAAAAAGCAAAGAAACAAAACTAAACAAATATCGATTATTACTTTGGAAAGTCCGACGGAAAGGCCGATGATATTCATGCATCAAAAATTCTAGAGCAGATGTTAACCAAGACACAACAAAATAGAGCAAAAGATGCCGAAAAATAGGTCAGTATTAAATTAAAAACAAATCTACATAGAACACCTTCCTTTCAGTAAAGTAAAGACAAGAGACGCTATACTTCTGTGAGTGACTGTATTTATGTGGAGTATCAAAACAGTACACTGATTTTTCTTCTGCTAGCAACATTAAATGTCTGTGACATTCCAGTTGTAAACTATCTTTATGATATCCTAACCCAGGTAAATAAAAAAAACTGAACCACTCTTTTAAAAGAAACGTGTTTTGGGGATTCTTAATAATTAAAGAATGGAAATGAATGTATTTGAAAATTCACCTGACTCTTTGAAAAAATACAGTCAAATACAGGAAATAGTAAAATTTCACTGTGTATATTTTTGTCAAATAAATAAAATAAGACTAAAACTTGAACTTAGAAGACATGATGCCAAAACTGAGTTTACCTGCTTTTTCTTCCATATCATAAATGTTTCAAGTGTAACCGGAGTCAAAGTTGATCCTAAGGATGCCCTCTGGTGAACGAAAAGCAGATTATAAATAAAATTAAGAAAATGATAGACAATTACTCTTTATTAGTCAATTTCAAGACACCGAAGACTCATTTAACAAATAAAAAATTTGATATTTCAGAAACAGTTCTTGTGCAGAAAATAGATGAAAAACTTAAAAATTTAGAAACTTTTGGTTAAATAATTATGAATGTAATAGAAATGAATTGCTTTTTACTACCAACAGCAGTACATGTGGTACCATAAAAAACGGCAATGACAGCTGATCAATGAGCTGATCAAATATTTGTTCTTTGATTTTTGGAACTCAAACACTCGTGTCTCGATCAGCAAATAATTATTTAAAGGTAGAAAATCTTTTGCCACCATAAGCCAGTACATGATATATAATTTTTTAACAAAGAAAAGGTTTGCGAAACATTTGCAATAACGATCGGAAAGGCCAGGTTAAACAGACACCCGTCCATCTTCAAAAGCCATGCTACAAATCTTTTCCAATGGGTGCTGGTAAAGTATCACTAATATACACTTAAAAAGAGGCCTACCTCATTTTCTATTAATTCTTCTAAGCTAATTTCCTCTTTATCATCCTTCGCCATTTCTTTCCTTTTAAGCACAAAGCCAGATGGTAGAGCGTGTCGGTAGATGCATTTCTCGCCATTAGGACAGGTCCAGAACCAGCCGTATAGATTTTTGTCGATCGCTTCGAGAAAGTATTTACAGATCTGTAGAAAAAATTGAAACAATCATGCGAAATGCATATCAAGATAAAAAGATACAATCATGATCGAATTTCGTGATGTTGTCAACAAGAAAATGAAGTGAAAGATTAGGGGGTTTGGCTTAAATAATTACAAGCTAACCAGCTAAAATCTGCTTCAATACTTTTCCGAAAAGATCGGTAACATTTGCTTTTTGCAAAACTACTTTTAATTCTGCAACATAAAAAATTTTATATACAAATCTTAAAAGCACAAATTAGTACAAATTGGTCGAAAATGGCGGACTAACCAGCATGAAGGGATTTTTTACCAGGAAAATACACGTTTTCTAGGCATTCTGTAAAAATGTCCCTAACTTTGAACTAATTGGTACAGAAGAAATCTGAGCAGTATTAGGCTCTTCAAACATCTTTTTTAACATATCAACGTCCCATTAAGTCCCATCACAGCAACATTCCGAAAATGAATTTTTAAAGAAGAATTTATTGTAGAGTGATGCAGTAGCCTTCTCGAGATTTTTTTATGGACTAGCAGCCAGCCCCTTCGGTCTAACAACCAACCCCAAATGTGGTCTTTTCCTTGTGAACACTCTTGACTATGAGACTAATTCACAACAGAATGCAATTTATCGATATAAAGTCTCAGACTTTGGAAAAGGAATCAGAAATTTTTTGTTACCTTTCAGGAAATCGATAAATACAAAACCCAACAAGAATTATATTTTAAAAAGCATTCCCTTTCAATTCTTTTCATCTAGGCCTCTCCCTGCAACAACCCCAGCACCACAACAACCACAAACAAAAACGAACATGGCAGACATAACAATCGACTTACAATATCAGTCTTTGGTTTCTTCTTTTCAGCTTCTTCGTGCTTCTTTTTGACCACTTCTTCTAATTTATCTTGCGTCCAATTTTCCATACCATCCTCTAAAGGATAAAACATGAATATCAGATTTTTTACCACCTGTCGAAAACACCTCTTTACAACTCATAGTACTTCTATAGCCATACAAACGTTCGAAACAATTGTAATCTATATATAAAATGCGAAAAATTATATTACTGCTTTTAATTCTATATAATATTAAAGATGTACGAATTTTCATAAAAGAACGGTATTTTGCAAAGAGATACATTCTTGGCGCGATTTCAAAGCATGACCCAGTTTAACTAAAATGGAGTCTATTTGCCCAAAAAACTTAGTTCCTTCGAAGAAAAACGAGGTGCTAAAATATAAAAAAAGTAGAAATAATTATACTCATATCGTGATGGTGGCGTAGAACTTCAGATCCCACTTAAGTATTGGCAATATCAAATAATGTCTTACAGTATTTTTAAGAACAACGCATCTTACCATTTTTTCCTTGATCTCTTTCATCCACATACATGCTCCTTTTCTCTCCTTTTCTTTCTAAACTCAAGTCATGTGAAAATTTACATTTGTTGCCCTTTCCACATGTTCCCGACTTGAAGAAAGCACAAAGAACAGACTTTGGATCCGCACCTAAACATAATTATAACCTGCTATAAGTCACGTTTAGAAAGGATGACAAAAAGAAATAGCATGATTTAAGATAATGCAGAATAAATTGGTTCTATTCTGCAGCCTTGTTAAAACTGAGGTTGCAAGACTTAGCTACAAATAGGAAATAGCAAGGCTACAACTGAACATACTGCCAACATTCCTGGTAGTCTCTACAATTGCGCAGTTCTAGGCACAAAGACAATGAACTTGGGAAGAAAGGAGTTCAGCAAGAATAATCAGTTTCCTTTTATCAAGATGTGGCAACTCGTCGATGCAAAATACATTTAGAAGGCTGACAGAAGGCTGAAGCAAATTGAAATGATGCTTTCAACTATTTTCATTCAACTACAGAGTAGATTTCTTTTGATTTTTTATTGTTTTTTCCTTTATTGGCAGAATGATTCATCGTTTTCTCCCTCTCCTTTTTCATTTCACCAATTGAAAATGTCTCTAACAACACCAATTATCAGCGTCGATTACGTTCTGGATATCCACGATGCCTACCAAATCTAACTCTTATGTTGAAACTACAAACAAACAACTTTAAAATTCTGAATAGGTAGCACGATCAGGACCATATTGATCAAATTAAATCTGTCTACAAAAGGCGCCTTTTAGTGATCGTAACAACTTTTCTTGCAAGGTTTTCTGTTGTACTTTTACCCATCGGTGTAGAGTTGATGGTTCAGGGGGCTGAGCCCATTTAAACAACCCTTTTTCTAATTTTGACATTGTTTTGAGGAGCTTTTCGGTCCCCTCGTTCTTTATACAGCACTGATCTGTTTTGAGCATCAGAAGGCTTCTAATCAGAACTATCTGGAACCTTTTTGACTAGTGCTTAGGGAACATGCTTGTTTCTTGTATCTAAAAATTCATGATAGTGTGGTTTAAATATTAAGCAAGAAAAAAGGCAGATAAATTTATTAACTCTACTAAATTGCATTGGATGAAATCATAGGCATGACATGTTCTAGTAGAAAATTGTCTTATGGTGAACCTTAAGATTGGATAACTTCAGAATCAACACATAAAATTGGCAAGAACTGATAAGGTGAAAGGAACCTGCAGATATTTTCTGTTGCTCCTGGACAGGTCTGAACAACTTGTTCAATTCATCAAGTTGATTTCTGGCTTCCTTTTTCTTTTGCTGCAAGAAAAGATTGATTCAGTTGTCATTGAAATTTAAATTTCAAGACCAAGTTCTGTTTCAACTAAACTTGTAAAACAGGAAAGCTTGTTGCAGTAATTCTGAGCTAAATGCAGTTGCAGTTGGAATGAAACAGAGATCATTACTAAAACGATTTTGTTGCACATATTTTTCAAAACGTGCACAAACACAGGAAAGCTTATAGCAATAACTCATGCAGGAAAACTTCTCAAATATAAATCCCAATTATCAGTAAATCATCTCGCTTTTATAAATCATAAATTTTTACTTTTAATAATCTAAACTCAATATGAATTTTTCCAATTTCTTAAATGGATGAATTCTTACAGAGGAGGCTGCCAAAGGGCAGCAAAAATTCTAAAAGAAAAAATTTTTTTGATAGTGTATGTGTGTTTCTAATTATGGTTTATAAACACATTTAAGGTACAGAGTTACCTAAGTATAATTTGTCATCTAACACACGGGATCCCTTAAAATCCTTGGCCCAAAAAGCCAGTAACTGTAAACAAAATAAAACAACCAACCTTTTCTGCTTCTTTCATTTGCTCTAGCTGTATAACAAAATTGAACAGTGTAAGAACTAGAAAGTGCAAGGAAAATTCAAATACCTTATCAGCACTAACAGCTTAATGTGAATTTCAACACAACCCTAAAAGATTTTCACATATTTCTTCAGTTAAACATCTGGCTTCAGAGAATAAAAAGCTAGGCATTGGAAAGCATACATAGCACCATGTTTCATTTATGAAATAAACTTGCACAAAAAGACAACAGAAATTAGCAATACAGTTTATATCTTACTAAAGCTGAAAAGGCTCACCAGTGAATGTAACTTTTTATATATGAAGCAGCTCAAAAAATTAGTTAGGAAGCACAGCCTGTATTAGCAATTTCAATATGAGGACCATCACAAAACACGAGCTTCATTTCCACAAAGCTGAATTCAGCATGGTAGTAAACATTTTAATGAAAGACATTTGGACCAAACCATGCTTCAGCAGTAATGTCAAGTATCAGATAGCTATGTTATCTAGGAATATTTTACAAGTCACTTCTTGTCTCATTTTCATCAGCTTGGGCTGTTTCACTGCCTAGTAAATTTTTAGTCAGAATAAGATAAGAAAATTGCTCACATCTCTCTCACAGTTTACACTCATGTGTATTGGCGCAATGCCTTAAAATTTGAAAAAGCAAGACATCTTACCCTCCTGGCACTAGGAGTACCTCCCTGTTTGACCTAGAAATAATAAAAACAGCATTGACATAAGTTATGCAGTTTAGTTAGCTTACGATCAAAAATGTACTTAGGCAGGAATGATGGTTGCTCATAAAAAGAACATAAACAGTGAAAAATAATGTGCATGTGGTAGAATTGGAAAAATAACAATTTTAGCATTATTTTGCAGTCCTTGGGAGGAGGGTCACTTAAGCTCCATCAAATGCATCCCTATGCTTCTAGAAAAGATCTAAAAGTTTTATGAGTAGAGTGCCTCATCTAACCAGGGACGACTGTTACAGTGAAATTATGTGTATAAATTCAAATCAACTTTCTATTGATGCTATTTGATAATATCTTAAATCTACTTGTTTTTGAGAATATGGAAACTGGTGCTTGTCAAATAGCAAGGTGCCAAAAACAAAGGTGTATACAGGCAGCAGGCCATCCTTGGAAAGGTGTGTTGTATATGCACACCTTGACACTGCTTCCCCAAGAAGTGCAGTTTAGTGCATGTATGTCATCAAGACTATGAGGTACATTTACAGAAATCAATCTTATGCCCTGTTTATACAATAATGATTTTGTTTCAGATCGTATTTTGTTTCCCATTGCAACAGGACATTTTTGCCTGCTTACATGTTTTTTACTTTCATTTCATCTTGGATTTGGGACAATATCTACCTAAACATGCAATAGTGAACCAGAACGCTATACTGAGGGGGTGTTTGCCTAGCATTTTTATATCAAATTAAATCATTTACACAAGCAAAAAGATTTATTGGATTGGTTTCATTTGAGCATTTTCATTTTCAAATGCCAAGACGGTATAAAGAATATCAGATAATGGATAGACTAATGGATAGTTTTTGTGTAAACAGGAGGCTAATCCAGTATAAAAGAGTATTTTGTGATTGATGTGAAATAGAAACGGTATCGTGTAAAAAGGACCCTAGTTCATAATGCTCCATTTTAACTTTTCTCAGTCTACAAAGTAGAAAATGTCTGTTTTTGTGCGCTCACACTGCAAAAAATGTTGGTATTATTGGGTTTTTGCTGTTCCGATGAATAGGAATTCATTTTAAAAAACCGTGGTTTTGGTATGTTCACATGGCTCACAGAAACAGAGAAAAAATGTTCCTTTTGTGGTTTTTACCATTCACACTGCTTCTGTTTTTCTAATTTTCCTGGAGAGTTTTGAAAAACCCTGTTTTTGTGCATTCACATTAATCCATTCCTTTTTCAAAAACCTCTGTTTTGTGTTACTTTTGAGCTTTTTAACAAAATTTTTATATTCCATTTGCAAAATAGCTTTGAAAAAGAAAATGTATACCCTTGTGCAAAATAAATAATTTAAAAATGGGCAAATATTCACCAATTAGCTAAAGTACTTTTGTAGCTATAACAACTACTATTGCACCCAAATATCAGGCTTACCCTCTCCCCAACAAACATGGTGTAGTGACTCTGCTTAGGTTGCTTTATTTTAATTTTTCCTTCTCATGAATTCCATCACATAGTCACATTGCAGGACAGGCATTCTCTATGTTACTCTCATATCATGCATTACTTTATCTTTGTCATGCTATTCATTTCACTTATCACCTTAACTTGCCCTTTCGACCCTTTGCTTTCCTCATATTATTTATGCTAATTAAGATATCCATTTCTGTATATAAGTATGTTATTTTGCATGTTATTTAGTTCAATTTGAATCAAGACATACAACAGGCACATCATCTCCTCTCTGGCTCCGTGTTCTCCACACCTTAAATAGGACACTGAGTTTGGAAACAACACATAAGTTGATGGACATTTTATTTAGTGCCTACATCGATCACTGTTCTGATCTGCACTAAAGTGGTATATTTTGAAAATTGTTTTGTACAAATGTCACTGCCTTAAAGTGAATGCATGAGTGTATTCATGCAAAATATCTTTGGTGCATAAAAGCATAATCTACAAAAAGCTTCCAGCATTTATACTTAATAGGTAAGTTTGTAGTGATAACATCTAAGCTTTTGTTTTGTTCCCGCTGTGTTTTTCATGCTACGCTTCGCTGCTTGTATATACCGCTGTGTTTATTTAGAAATAGTTAGTTGGTTCGAAATAAGATAATAACACGACGTACGTCTCTTACTTTCGACTTCGCTCTTCAATAATTCGTCCTTCGAGACTGCTACGTTATTAACAACACAGGTTGTTAAAAGTTCTATATATTCATGATCAATCATAGATCTCAGCATAATTACCTGTTGAGTGACATTCTTTATATACTGTTGCTGCTTTTTTCCCTTCTTGTTCTTCAGTCCAAATGTTTTATCCTAAATTGGGTGAAATTCAAAAAATGGTTAAAAAATAAATAAAAAACAAAGCAAAAGGGCTTTGTTGACATAAACCCGAGAAATAGATTATTCTTAAGTTAAAAGGCATGTCAAAAATCCATGGAAAACTCAGCTTCTTGTTCATTTTGTTCATTAGTGAAAATAAAAGACCTGTTAACTCTCCCAGTTTTGCCAGAGGTCTCTAGGTTTGGTTGTTTACTTCTGGGCTCCGGGTTTTGAAGATTTTCTCCCTGTTTCTCCCTTTTTCTTTTAGCAGAAATACTAATGACTACAATGACTTTCTCCAAACAAAATTATTTGCTAGAGTAGGAATTAACAAAAAGCACTAAAAATCATTAACAAACAAGTTTCTCATTAAAACATTTTGTCAATACCTGTTCGCCCAGCAAATGTTTTATTTTGATGGTCTCCCTGTAATTTGGCCAAGTTTCCTTGATTTTCTTAAGTACAAATTTAAAATCTCAAGGAAATCTTAGGTTCGAGGGTGGCTCAGTTGTTAGATGCCATGACCAAACTTTCACCCAGAGTGAGGAGAGTCACCAGCTTACTGTAATTTTAGGCATAGGAATCACGAGGTGAGGTCACATTGAGATGAAGGACCAGGACACTGCTCAATAAGCATAAGCTTCTCAGTGTCCCAAAAACTACCTTCGGATGCTAGGTAGAAATAAATACAGGAAAAAAATTCTTAGACTGACTGGACTAACTGAAGAAATTACATTCAATCATACTAAATTATATAAAATGGAAAGTGGTGACAATTTTACATTTAGCAATGTTTAACTATCATATACCTCTTGTGATTTAATTGGCTATGATAAATTCAATACAGAATAAGATATATGTAAATTTTCTTTAAAAAACAACTGTTTCCAGTAGAAAACATATATATAGCACCTTCTCTACCCCCAAAAGAAGGTTGCTTGCAGAGTTCAGATATCAGTTCAGACAGTGGCATGAAGGGGGTCAGAGGGGTAAAACACCTCTCTGTAAAGCTAAACTGCTATTTTGCTAAAAATCTAAATGGAAAAATTCTGATCTTGTTGGAAATTTAACATAGGCCTTCCTGGGAAAGGCAAGGTTCCACTTTTTGCTTGATCAATTTCCTGAAACTATTCTTCTTTTTGGTTAAATTCCTTTCGAAATGGAAGAAAAATCCTTCCGATTTCCCCATTACTAGATTTATATGGATTAATGACCTTCATCTGTTATTTTCACTTTCAACTTAAACAAGAAATTTTTCCTGGCATTGCTTTATAAAGTTATTTTTTTCTGTCTTTTTTTCAAAACATTTCCAATTTTAGTTGCAAAACTTTCCCTTATTTAGTTTCAAAACCTTATGAAAATTCTGAAGCGTTTAGAATTGGTGAGAAATGGCAATAGGGTTTTTAAATGTGGCACCATAAAAAATATATTTTTTGAATTTTTGATGTAATTGGCCACTTAATGAATAACAAGCCCATTTTTTAATTTTTAAATAAAAAATTTCATCCCAATTTCTTATAAAATCCTTCTTAATTCTTTCAAATTTATAATTCCTTCCCTTTTTCTTTCAATCAACCAAAATTCAGAAAAAAGGGTTAAAACCTTTTAAGTGGAAGCTCTGTTAAATTGAGGGCCGTAAAGTTTTTCCTCATCTCCTCTCTGCATCAAGGCTGAAGATAATGGAAATGTGGACCAAACTGACCACTTCAAATTGAACATAACAGTCCTCCAATTTTCAAAACTCAAATTTAGAACAGGATGCAAGTGTTCCTCCTGTATCTAATACTTAATTTCTGACTGTCATTAGTCATTTTCAGCTTCTTGCACAGAGAACTTTTGTCCCTACCTACAGCCATGCAGAATTTGAGCTTTTACAAGATTTGCAGCAGAAACTGAGCTGCACTACATGTTGTTAAGGACAAGTCCTTGGGACCAAACATTTCGATAGCAATTTTTAAAACAATCTAAAGCTACATCTAGTAAAAATATGATATCGATTATATTAAAGAATAGAAATTAAACATAGAATAAACTGCATTAATGAACTAATTGAGGTACATTGCCCCTTTACTTAAATATTTAAAGATAAATTTTAAAGAAATACAAACTGACTTAGATTGAAAATTTATCAGGAATAATAATTAGGTGCGATCATCAATTTAGTATATTTCTAACTTTGCTAATGTCGTTATTGTGGGACAGACAGACAGAGAAGAGACAGAATCCGTTTATTGGATTTGACTCACCAACCACTTCATATTGCATAAAACAACATTATTCAGAAGGGAAAAAAGCATGCGATAGCAAATTTTCTGTAGCATAACAAGTATGTTTGCTGATATAGTAGGTAGTTTGTTGTTAGCCTGGAGCCCATCAAAGCGCGACTGTACTAAAATTAAACGTTGGTTTGTTAAACACAGTGTGAACAAATATTAATAATGACGAGTTACCTCAATAACTTTTTCTTTGGCTTTATCCACAGTTTTTTTGTTCGGTTCCTGTTTCTTCTTTGGAGGCATAATTTGTTTCTTTTTTATTAATCAATTGAGTACAAATTACTTCGTTCCTTCGCAAATGGTAGAGAACTAGAACATGACTCAAGTAACCCATGTGTGACTGCACCAAAACTACAGACTCGTTTTGATTTTTTGTCTCTTTTGCGAACCTCAAGACGAGTTTCATGATCCATGATCACTGATCAGTGTCCATGATCTGATGATCATTGCAATCATCAAAGAATATGGCAGAAAGATCCTTGCAGCAAATAAACTCTACACTCTTTTCTCATAAGAACTTTTTTCAGACCCAGAAAAATTTTGCTGAGGTTCGATGTTCTTATTTTTGAGGCTCGGGTGTTCTGTTATATTTTTATTATTTCAACAGTGAGTTTTCTACAGCTATAAACTATCAATTTTTCTTGAGACAACTAAAATCTCCTCAGTTTTGTTTCTAACTTATTTCGTGATAAATCAAATCTCCGTGTTCTTATGTAAAAATCAAGGTATGGACCAATTACAAAAAACCACCATAAATAAAATTGACTGATTTCAAAGAAGGTTTCTCAGGCAAACCACAGATAAATAGTTATCTGCGTGACACCAAGCTAACACCATGAAGTAAAATAGTAAAAAAGCAAAGGGGTTCATTAGTATGGCTATTCTCTAAGACTACCAGAGCAAGCACCTGCAAAAGAACCACAGAGAAAATAAAAACAAATTAAACAAGTTGCAATTAATTGAAAAAAAACTTATTAAAATTTTTTTTGCATAAATTTGGCCATTATTCGACTTTGATAATGCAAGGAATATCGGACGAGAATTTCTTTAGCATGCTTTTCTGTGCTATCTTTAAATTTTTCGGTACCATAGGCTTGGTTCCATTGTTTAGGTTAGATATGTGCATGGCCAACGTCTGATACGATGTTACATGTCAGGTATATCATTTGTTTGAAGTCGGAAGAATACACTCATTTCTTATAAGAAACTGGCTATAAGAAACGAGTACTGGACGGTCAGAAAAAACTAAGAAACTTCATTACTCGAAGCAAACAAATGAAGAAACTATTAATAATATCGCGATACCGAGATTCATTGTGTTTTCGACATTGGTGGATATCTCACGCTTTATGATCATGATCGTCCAAAAAACAATAGAAGACGTCCCACAATTCACCGCTTTTACTTTAACACCTCGAGCTGAAATTTTCTGTGTGCGAATTCTCCGTTCCGGGTTGACGTCATTGATTTGTACCTCGCCATCCATGGATCTTTCTCAAAAATGGACTTCAGAATTGAAACTTCATCTTTAAATTAGTTAATAATGAAAAATCATGTTGTTTGGACCGTTCGGTCGCGAGTTACTTTGTTTTGAATATTTAGATATTTCTTTAGATTTGACCGGAATTTGCTGCTTCAGTGAAAAAAATTCACTGGAGTCAGCCCGGGCTGAGTGGGCCCGGGTTGAGTCAGCCCGGGCTGAGTGGGCCCGGTTTAAATAAGCCCGGGCTGAATGGGCCCGGTTTAAATCAGCCCGGGCTGAGTGGGTTTTATATAAAATGAAAATATGCAGCAAGAGGATCAGCCATTTTTCCGGCGCTTTTCAATATTCACTCGTCCCATTATGTTTCTGCCCAATCACCACTAAATTTGCATATTTTAAGGGTACGTATGTTAAATAAAAGTTATTCAGCATGAAATTATCTTTTAAAGGATGTACATAGTATGTGGTTTTAGCAACATTGAAATTTTGAACCACTACTCAGTGCGCCATTATAGTATTTGCCCAAATAAGGAATTCCCAATGTCCAATTAATGGGGCTTTTTTTCTGGTAATTTCCAACTTAGTATAGAACATCTGTGCCAAATTACAGCTTTATATTGTTTTTGTCGGGGTTAGACCGCTATTGTATCTAATTCCACTACACAATAAATCGTGATAAAAGTGAGAACAACGAAACTTTGTAAAATCCAAGAACATGACTGCCCTGTTGGCCTAGAGCTTAAGACACAAGGGATAAAGATATATTTCCCATATCTAAATGCAGCATCAGAACGGAAGGGAATCTCTTGACGTAATAAAAAAGGTCACGAACATTTCATAACATCATTCATGACATTATAATTAAGAAACTCTCAGGAAACAATGAGTATTGAAATTTCCAGAACACTAAGACCCCCCTCACATGGACATTTTCAGGCCGGTCTGAAACTCAGGTCGTCTTGAAATTTGATGATGCGGGCTAATTTTGCTCCCGCTCACATGGATGTTTTCAAACCGGCTTGAAAAAGCCACAGGGTTTTGCACATGCGCATTTACGGCGAAATTTAGATCAAAACAATCATGGCGCCCAATAATTTGATGAAAAGGTTTATTTTAAATCAGTTGTTGAAATCTATTTTGGTTGTTTTAGTCTCGGCTTTGTAACTTCATTTTATTTTGCCTTTTCAACTTATGTTTCAACTTCTTCAACATGTACCGTTTCTTTATTCCGAGAGTTTTCATGACGTCCAACAGAAGCCAAATAGATCTAGCACTATTCAATGGTGAAATGGCGCCAAATTTATCAAACATGTATCCCAGAACTCTAATTTGCATCCCAGAATGCAATTAATTTTTCTCTGCGAGTTTCATTTCGCCCACACTTGAAAAACGTTTCTGCTCACATGCGGATTTCAAGTCGACCTGAAATTTCAGACCGACCTGAACAACCGAAACGAATTCAGGTCGACCTGAGTTTCATTTCGCCCTTTCTCATGTAAGCACCTCAAGGGCTCAGACCGCAGACTGAAATGAATTTCAGGTCGATCTGAGTTCAGACCGGCCTGAAATTTCTCATGTGAGGGGGGTCTAAGAAACTGGAGTGCTCAACATCGACCTTTGTTTCTTATAAACAAAATGAGTGAATGTATGACGTCAGAAATATGCTTGTATAGCGTTAGAAACAGGAAATGATAGCAGAATTATGTTTGACTGTCAAAAATATGACTGGACAATGTCAATAATTTTTGCATCTCTTCTAGGTGTATAAAAATCTTGAGAATAAAAAAGAACTGGACATTATTCGAAAGAAAAGAGGAACAAGACGTATTAAATGCGGTCGAATCTAGTAACAGTCGGGTTACGGATCATTGGCATACAGTCTTTTTTAAAAGAGCAATTTTATAAGAACACGAGTCTCAAAATTGGTCTAAAGTTAACAACAAATTAAGAACAAGCTGAGGCTGAGCTACTGTAAAATGCAATTTTGAACAACGTCCTATCTCATAAACAAAGATTTTTAGCCATGTTTGGATGTATTTTTCGGTAAATATTTAAACTTGACGGCAAATTATGGTTGTCTTATACACTTTGTTGGCAAATGAGGCCTGAACACCCTCCTAGAGCGAAAAAGCTAGCAATCGCACTGCTTACACCCTTTCAATTAAAGCATATTAAGAACAATCAGCCTGAACTTAAATTTACTGGTTTCTATAAGAAAAAAGTGTAGCCAATGCAAAAGGCTCGGTATATACAGTGTCATCGCTTTATGTTACTGACAGATCCAATTATGCCCAGAGGGGGGTCACTCAAATTTTTTTGTACGGGGAGGTCAGAAAATCAGCCAACATTATCAGCTAAAAGTTGCTGATAAGGCCCAAAAATATCAAAATACTAAATCTTGCTGTTGGGCATATAAGATACCACTAGTCACTGTAAATTAGAATGTACTATAATAGTCAGTTTAAACATGTCTGTTCTTTTATTCCTGTTTTGAAATTGCTATGTGTTGGTTGGACCAATTAGCATAAAAAAGGTATATTCTTAAATCAGGCACCCAAAGGTACTAGATTACAAAGAAAATTCTTATATAGAAATTAAAGTGACCACCCCATGGACAACTGGGGCCGCCCCTAGGCAATTAAGTCAAATTTTTGTGTAGGGAGGAGTTTGAATTAAAGACTACTTAAAAGTCGATGTAAGCAGGTTTATCAAAATTATGCTAAAAGAGACTGTGTTTTATCGATTGCTATAAATGGTCTTCTTGACAGGCTTTTGGCTTTCAAATCACTTCAATTCTATCAAGTTTAAAAGTTATTGCTCAAACTACTGTACAAGTCCGTTGAATTCTCACACTAACTGTTGCACTATGCACTCGCTTATTGTTTTATTATGGTCTATATAAGCCTCGATCTGGTTTTAGTTTCGTTAGGCTTGGAGAAAAATTCCTTGACAATATTAGATTATTTCTGTCTCATCTCAAGTCCCCAATTTCAGCTACTTACTACAAAAATTTGAAGACAGCACTGACGGCTCAAGGTTGCAACAAGATGCATAAAAACAACATTAAACTAGCACCGTAGTAAATATTTGTTGCCATTTAGTATGTATGAATAAATTAATCAATTCTTATTTGTATAAAACGTCGAATGAACGAGAATACATTAAATGACATAATGGATAAAGCTAATAAATACGACAACATAGGCCGTATTTACTTGGCGGTAAAATAAATTGATAACCGACCAAGGGAGCTGAGGTGGACTGGTAAAAAGTGTTGTTTACCTTCTTTCGCTTTAAAAATGAAGGAAATAAAGGTTGCCTGAGCCATTCCTGTTAGAACAAAGGGTAAATTAGCAAAGTATCATTTTTTGTAATCAAAAACCTCCCCTCTAAAACTTTCAGAGAGACCGAAAGGAGAAGTTCCACTTTAAGATAGGAGAGCCTCAAAAAATTTCACCTTCTCTAATCTCTACGAAGAGGAATGCATGACAGGAGATTTCAATCAAATATCATACTAATTTCCAATTCCATTGTTAAACAGCTTAAAATTCCATTGGCATTCTAAAACTTAAAAACCCTTTCCAGCATTCATATGACATGTCGCCTAAAATATATTTTTTGTTTTGATATAATCGGTGTCCCTGCAACAGATACTTGGACTAAATGTCCACTTGAGAAACAATCGGATATTCCTTAAGCGAGAACTGCTAAACATAGTAAACACAAAATGTTGCTTTTTGCCCATGGCAAAGTTGCTTCAATTTACGTCAAATCAAAATGGATGCTCGCCAGGGTAACTGAAATGTGTGGACCACCTCTGTTATGTTTTCGCTACAATTAAAGGACGTCTGGTTCGACATGCAAAAATAAATACCATTAAAATTATGATTATGAAACTGAAACAATTTGAATCCATTCACCACTAAGGCAAAGCCAAAACGAGACTCTGCTAAAACTATAGCCTTGGATTTTGCTAATTCTAACAATTTCCTAACATCAAGGTTTTCGTATTGGTATATACAATTTACAGTTAAATAAAATACATTAGCCATAAACAATAACTCTAGTGAAAATTAAATATTGCAAAGTTTCATTATAGATTACAATTATCAAATATAGGCAAAAATGCTACCGGACATCAATTTGCGTCAATTTGTGTAGTTATTTATCGAAATATTTAATACCAAGATTTTCCTTGGGACAGGACCACGGGCTTTAATTAAAGCAAGAAGAGCGCGCCTAATTTCTTCACCATATGATTCTCTAGTCCGGTAAACTAGGTTGCTAACTCATCCAAGGATTATCTTTTTGCGAAAACTCGTGACACCATTAGTCCATTGTGAAATGACACTCGGATAAATGGGACAAGGAATTTTCTTTAGCTAGGTATTTGGTTTGATTAGATATTGCAAACTTCTAGTGATAGCTGCTACTGGTTTAGGGACAGTCACTAGCTTTAGAAAGAATGTTCATAGCAGGCTTGCTATTTCGCCAGGGGAACTTAAGAGCGAAGAAGCTTAGTGACAAGTATTTAGTGATACCAGAAGCTTGCTTTAGGGCTTATGTAGGCTAGACGAAATCTCCTCCAAAAAGGTTGTTTACGAACAATATCAAGAAAAACTGTGTGATTGCAATAAGAAATCCATTTTTAAAGAATATTTATATTACGATATGCAAATGCTTTACTCTTTTAAAGGTTTCAGATTCTTGACCCAAGCATATAGACATGATTCTTATGAAGTTTTGTCTCGTGACTGTGATACAACAGTAAAATCCTAAAAGGATGTTGCTGTACTCAAATAAGATACTTGCTTGTTTGTCCCGCATCAAATTATTGGTATACCAGAGTATTACTTCACTCCCTGAGTTATTCTTAGACATTGAAAAGAGCCAAATAAAAATTACAACGATATTTCTGCATGGCAGAAGGCTGACATCTCAGGGGTACACACTACCACAGAATAGAAGTTGCAGTCTCTAGTCTGTGCTACAACTATTCGGCAAACGCGCAGGCATTGTGAAATATTTAGGAAATCGTTGAATACAACTTGTTTTATACAAGAAAAGGAGTAATGTTATGGTTCAAAGAGAGTTTACAAAATAGCCTACATGGATAGAGCTTGTTGAACCTAAACACAAATTGAGGTATAGCCAAAAATACTTGTTAGTACCAAAATATGATATGCAAATGTCATCGCATTGAGTCTTGCTGTTCTATTAACAACCTAACGAGGGCTGTCAGAGATTTCAATTCTTTTTTTAGGCCAATAACATCAGTACTTAAACGATCAATTTTGTTTGACACGTCACTAACCGCTGATTTCGATTCTGCGAGATCTTTGGCGAGATATCCGACGTTAATAAGTCCATTTCCACTTCTGGATATCGACAGCGCCTTCTCAATTCCTTCCAGCGATTTTCGAGTTGATCTTACTTCTTTCGTCAGTTCTTGGTGCATTTCTGATATGAAAGCAGAGCCAAACGAAGGTTCGACGATTGTTTGTCCGTCAACCATTGACTTTCGCATTCTTCGCGCGGCAATTGGGAATATCGGCTCGGAGACGCGGCGCGATGTGTTCAAATCGTTATTCGCGTAGCAGTGCACTTCACGGGCGCCGCGCCTGTTTTTTCGAACGTTGTTGCTGCTGTTACACCGTTTTCTCTTACCTGAAAAATCACTTTCTCTGTCTGAATCTGAATCTGAAAACTCCCTCGAGAAAATACCCGAGCTCAGTCTTTCAATATTTGCTTTGGGCAATGTCAGATCATTTACATCAACCCTTGGGGAATCGTCATGACACTCGCCATTTTCAATTTGGGTAACAGATTGTAATTCTTCATCCTCGAAAGCCGGACATAGCATATCCCAGGACATGTCCGATGAATTTCTTCGTTTATCACTTAATATTGTAGTATTAGTTCCATCGTCAAGAATGTTTTCAGTAAACGAAACGTCAGGTACATTATCCTCTGGTAATGTCTCAAAATACTCTGTATAATCCTTGTTAATACGCGGTCGCCTAAAGACACTACATTGCTTTCTCCTTGGGTTTGACATCGACGAGCTTCTGTGTACATCGATTGTCTTTTCTGAAGAAGATACCTCACTTCTACTGCAGTTCTCACCAGAAAGCTCTGGTAAGCTATACCTATGCTTTGATCGTTCTCTGCGACAAGAAAGCCTTGGCAACGTGTTAACAATTATGTTATTCGGCTCAGTTCTTTCCAAGTAAATGCTACTGTCCTTTTTACTTTGTACGTGGTTTTCGACAGCTCTATATGTTTCATTGACCTGAAGTTCATCATCGTCTGTCGCAATCAGTAGAGTTTGTGAGGTTGCTAATGAATCGATATCCTTCTCAATATTGGCTGCCTGGTCACAAGAATCTACGTAACTATTTCTGTTGCTCTCCGTCAATTCTATGTCTGCTACTGTGCATAAATATTTGGATGGATTTTTTTCATCTTTGTCATCAAAAAAAGATGTTTCGCTAAACTCCTCATAATGAGGTTTCTCTTCACTCTTAGATGAAATGCTTACCTCGCTTTTTGGCAAAACAAATCTTTGGCCTAGCTCGCTGCTATTTTGTCCATCAATATCATCTGTGCCGTCTCTAAATGACCAGTCGTTGTCGTTTGACTGGCAAGAGAATTCCCGTTCTATTTCTAATGTTTCTTTTGTGGATTCGTCAATGCTGCTGTCACTAGTGATCCTCATCAACCGCTCCTCGAGCGACGGCGAGGCAGGCATCGGGTTGCTAAGTCCCCGTTCTCGGCTTCTAAGCTGTTGCTGCCAAAGTGGAAGACCAGGGCTTGGTGGAGAGGAAGCATCTGGTAGCAACGAAGTCTCTTCTTGGAGGTCATCATCAGCTGATTCGGACATCACTTCTTCCTCCTCTTCGTCTCCTTCGATAATTGAATCCAGTGCTCCACACGTCGAAAGGTCTCTCTTGGAAATTGAAAATAATTGTCTTAGATGCTGAGAAAATGATATCTACCTTCTAAGATTTAAAAATATTTACCACATACAGCTATCTGTGAAACACTTACAGACATTATCATAATAATTTGAAAACTTGCTTCACTTTTTATAATATGAAATAACTTTATTGAAATAATTATACTTCAAAACTCGATGCTAAAAAGGGACAGGAGCTTAATAGAGAGGGGGCGTAATCCAAAAAAGCTTATGCAAAATTTGATCTTGTTCGAAATTCAAAATTATTCAAAATTTGATCGAAAGGGGGCTTGTTTACCACGCAGAATATCTTTAAAACAACAAGATAAGTTTTTTAGAAAAATGAACCCAATAAGCAAGCTCGTATGAACATAGTAAAATGCTTGAAAAAAACCTAGATGCTCTAAAGAGAAAAAGAAGTTTGAAGAAAGTTGTTTTAAATTGGCTGCTCTTTCCAACATCTGGCGACACAATGAGAGAGTTCATTCAAGAGAAAGGCTCATTGTAAACACGATGCTTAGAGGGATGGCTGGTTCAAGTGGAATGCTTATTACTATTCTAGAGGAGGATTGAATCGAATTATAACGGTTTTCACCTTCAAATAAATGATACAAAGCAGCACCTGCATGTTATCATAATGGAAAACAAATGCAATAATTATAAAACTGAAAGGCAGCTATTTTCCGGTGGAAATTGCAAAGGTGTGTGGGAGGGGGTGGTGGGGCGATAGCTCCACAGCGTTCGCTAAATTGGCAGTTTAAAAAAAGTTGCTATTGCTTTTGCCGGTAAATTGTGTCATTTATCGCCAAATTTGCTTGTTTTTAGAGGTTTTATGCCCCCGCACCCACCTGTAAATTGAATTTTCACTTATGCAGCTACTGCTCAGTACTCGAATTGATTGCTTACCTCTTTCATTCCTAAATTGAAAGTCATTTCTAGTTTTTGTGAAAAAGCCTCAGCAAAGTCTGGATACAGATGCATAACACCAAGAAAATTGTCCCTTGTCAAGTAAAGCAAGTCACAGTAAGTCAATGCTCTGACGTCACCATTTGAACGACGAATTGGCACTCTGCGCGAGACGTCATCACCAAACAAGTCTCCAGATCCTAAAATTCAAATGATGACATTTGATTCACATTAAGTTGTGAGTCTGAAGAAACCCCGGAAAAGTACTAGGTAAATGATTAGTCATGTGGCTAGCAGCAGCAAAGGTAAATTTTTGCCCGTAATCAGGTGTTTTGTTTACATTTTTGTGTGATTCAGCCAATCAGAGGGCACCATTTAAGTTGTGCTTCGTCATATTGAAAGGAGTGTTAACCTGCGCCGTGTGGGGATTTCAGTAGGGAATATACAGTTTATCATTTTCTTCAACACTAAAGACTATTTTTTCCTGAACCTAAAGTAATTTGAAAATTATGATCTTGGATAAATATTCCAGAAAATGACTGGTTCACTATGCTTTAAATTAACCATTTTTCAAAAATATTTGTCTTTGGTCAGCTTCCAGTGTTCTATTTCAGTAGATGCGTGCTTACAATGATGTCTTAGGAAATTTTTGAAACTTTGGTTCTCCTAGACTTAAATTAGATTGCAGTTTACATGACATTTTGCAAAGAAAAAGTAGAGCTGCAGTTTGCCCCAGACATTTTCTTTTTCATTCAAAAAAGAATAAATATTTGCCCCATATTATTTGACTTCCCTTTGAATATGCGAAAAAGAGAATGGTTCTAACCAAGAATAGCGACGATGCATTCTTTCTGGACAATTTCAATGGTACCGCTGTTAACAAAGAAGATAGCGTCGATTGCATCTCTTTCCTTTAGGATCAGTTCACCAGGTCCAAAGTAGGCCCGTTTCACTTTTAGCGATAGCAGTCTCCAGCAGCCTCTGCTTGCATCCGAAAAACATGGTAAACTTAAGAAATTCTTGTATATATGCAGGCAGATATCCGCTCGTAGTTCACTGGGGAACGATTCAAGCATCTGTAAAAAATACAAAGATAAATTTGTGTGAAAATAAAAAAATATCGATTTGACATTCAATATGAAAGGTCAAACAACATTCAATTCTTACGTGAATTGATTTGAGAAACGAAATAAAATTATGACCCTCCCAATTTATAATCATAATTTATAATCATGAACATAAGAAAATGTAGCACAAGAAGAAAGGAAAATTTGTTTATTGTGCAAAAAACTATAATGGCGAAATGTTTCGGATTATTGGTAAAGCCCGATCGTCGTTCCACCTAGCAGTTTTGGAATCTATCTACATAAGCACGAAAAAACCGCTACTGTGTAGAAAAAATGAGTTCGTTTTCACCTTAGGGCTCCATTGGTAACATTCTCAATAGGCAAGCGGCACTGATTGGTCAACCTCAACAGTCATGCGCTCGTGTTTCTGATTGGCCTATTTCGATCCACAACTGGGTATATATATTTCTTAGCGTAGAGTTTTCGGTCTATGTTCTGACGTTTTAAACTCTGAAGAGTGTCAGACGAAAAACTTTAGTTAACAAAATTTTTTTAATTGATAATGTATCTTTACAGTGCACAGTAGTCAAACCAAAGGGAGTTCAACTTGTGATAAATAATTTTCCAATTCTAAGGGAGAAGCCCAAGTTGCCCTAATAATTTGCCGTTCTTCACAAGATTCTACATTATGCAAAGTAATGAGATGTTTGTTCCCAGAAATTGATAAGCGAGGATAAGAAAGGCTAGGCTGACTTTCTTAAAGCTTAAATTTATCTGACACCATGGATAAATCTGAGTAAGAAAACCTCTGCCTGAAATTATAGGAATTCAGGTTTTAATGTAGATTTAAAAGTTGTAAATTATTTGCTTTCTTTATTTAAAATCTTCATTAGGGCGAAAATATGATGTATAGTATCAAAGCTTCCAAAAGCTATATAAAGGTAAAGAACAATACAACTTCTATAAATGGAATTAAAACTTTTTACTGTGCTTTCCAAGAATTTCGCAATACATCAGATTTTTTGAAGAGTGATTACCGCAGAATCAGTTTTGTCTCTCTACACATCTCAAATTAAGCATACGCAGAGGCTTAAGGATCAGAATTATAATCTTTTGGACTGTGAAAGCAAACCTCTTAGGAAAACCAAGTTTTCTCATAATTTGTTTGCAGGACTTGTGAATTTTTTCTTAAGTTGTATTGACTGTAGGAGTTAAGATGACAAGGATTGTGGTTTGACTTCTTTTTAACGGAGAAAGTAGAGACGATGTTTAAGCCAATACTGATTGGTAGTAAACTTAAGATTTGAATAAGATGAAGATGCACAGCATCTGTTATTTATATTGTCTTGATCCCTTGATATTTACTATACCAAAGTCTTTTTGCAGATAATTGTAGCTACTGCCAGGAAGTGGTTGCAATGAAGCATAAATTTGATGAGAGCGAACGTTTCCCTATGTACAGTTGGGTATTTCCCTATGTACAGATCTCTGATATTCATAAGATTGTGCTCTTGTTAGGGGTCTGGACGGGGAAATACCCAATATTAAAAGCTGTTAACCTATAAGAATGGCTTGATTTCGAATTCGGAAATCAGTTTTCGAAAAACAAAGCTGATTTCATTCTTTTTCTCATCATAAATTCATGAGAATCCAAACAAGATTTCTCCGAACACACATATCTTTAAGATGGTCTTAAAAAATTCGTCCATTCGTCAAGCATATCATTTTAGTAAGCAAAATAAAAGATTGAAATCCAAATAAACTGGCTTCCATTTGAACTAGATTACTCTAAATAAATTTTTTTGCTTGGAACGTCATCAAATTTGAAGAATTAGCTTTTTAACTGATTGCACATGATGAATAATTCACATTCGTTGATCCAATTCATTTTCGTATGGGAATCATGGCATTTGTGCATACAAGTGGCACGGTCACACCGCTACTGATGCAGCTGTTTTGCATATCAAAGAAAGAGACGCGCTTTCAGAATGTCTTCCATGCTTTATGAAAAAAAGTGAAAAAACGATTTCATTGGAAAATAAAATTTATTAGTTACAGAAATGTTTTAATATACCAAAGAAATGCGAGTCTAGCTTGAAAAATCTGAAAGTTTCCAATCTTTGACTTATTTGGAAATAAAGCTAAAGCATGATGGGCCATCTTAAATATTTTGCCTTAATATTCAGCCTGAGAGTAGGGTTTCTTCTTTATAGAATATTGTATCATGACGACAGAGTGTAGAAATGCTTTGCAGCCAAACCTATATTGAATGATTGAATCCTCCAGATGTATGAATCTATACAAGAAGGTGAAAACCGTGGTCCGAACGGTAGTTTGACCATGTGACAATAGCCCATTGTATAATCCAGCCAATGGAAACATAGGTGATGTCCCAACTATAAATGTTCAGACTCAGTGCCTTTTAGGAAATCTGCATCTTTTTTACGTTGAATTCTTAGAAACCTTGCTTCCTTTAAGCATAAGTTTTAACCAGTTGCCTGTGATTGCTTTAAGCGTGAAACTTGGAGTAGCAACTAGAATTGTCCCATTCTATACACTACAAGCGCACACAGCTCTCCCTAAACGGTATAGAGCACGACAGGCCGGTAGACAGTAATTTAACAAAGTTTGGACCTGGATAATATTTTAGAAAAATAATTAAAAATAATATAAATATGAAATTCGGAAGTGTTTAGTTAAAAACATTTTCCTGAAACTTATATCCAATGCAACAATTGTAGAAATATGTTCACTTTTTGAAGTTGCTAGATGTTTTTAAAGAGACAGTTTTGGTGGATCAGAGATTTTCTTTACGAGCCCAGTTCTGGGTAGATATCGCAACTTAGGATATACAACTGCAAAAACATAGAATATCTTTTAAAGCATACCTCATCCGAATCAACTCCTTTGCTAACAGACCAATGTGTGAGGAAGAAGTCTTCTATTCTTCGTTTAAGGTCGTTCTCGATTCTATGTAGTCTCACAAACTGCTTGATCTCTGCAGCTTTGGCATGGAAACGCGCCCTCACAGCATATAATTTTTGTATTACGGCTGTCATGTTACCAAAGATAGCTGACTGCATAAGAGCTGGAACAAAGATTAGCAAGATGAAACTGCAGCTTAAATTTTATATCTAAGATTACACAGCATCAGAATTAGATGGGAAAAGATAATGAGCAAGTGTTACTTGTCTCACTCGAGAAACAGCAATCAACTGCTTTATCCTAAGACAGAGATAGGGTCCTAATTACTAGTATCACTTTATCTAGATGTCATCTGTGTTGCGGTGGTTTAATCTGTTGTAGCTCTTGTAAGAATCGTACCACCTCCATTTAAACAACATTCGCAAGAACTAAGATACCTTCAAGGATTTACTAATTTCCGTGTCTATTGTTATTAGAGAAAGCTGTAGGGTAGTTGTTTATCAGATTTCTTGTTCCTAGATGAAAATTTGAACATGAAATTAAATGATATGATAATGGCCGAATCGCGAAACCTGAGACTGTCGAGATTCAGAGTGAGATATTCCTTAAGAACTGTATCCAATGTCTCATAAATGGTAGTCTGCCAACGTACGATATAAGTACGTTACAGTGGCGTAATGATGTAGAAAATAATTTCATACTCGCAATTCAGATATCAACTACCTTTCATAGTGATCGTTAATTATATTTATACTGAAAAAGTCAAAGAACAGATCTTTTTTTGCTTGACAGTCTCTTTTTGTGTCGTCTTCAGCTGGTCCTATGTTAAATATCCATACTTCTTTCTCTCACATCTGTTTAGGAGACTAGACAATTCCTTGTTAATGTAGTCTTTTAATGCTTAAAATGCATAGGATGTGCTGGGGCCTGGAGCCGAAAGTGCGTCAAAGGCTTCGTGGCTCACAGCTGCTAACAATAATGGTAAAGATGAAAAGAAAGTCAAAAGGAAGAATCTTTATCACCTCCTAACAGAAGCACAACAACTGAAAATATTTTCTCTGCAGCTGTGTTTGGAGCAATGTTTCCAAACCCAACAGTTGTTAGACTTGTAAGAATGAAATATAGCGAGCTTATGTAGGCTTCTCCCTTTGAAGGACCACTTGCAAGGCTGCTGTTCACATATGGTTTTCCCATCTGCTCACCTAAGGGAAATTTATAAAACCTGATATTATCGCAAAAAAGGTAATGAAATATTGATAATTGCGTCAAATCGTGATTTTGTGAACAAAAGGAGATGATACCTGCGTTGACCCAGAAGTGATCACAGAGTAAAACAACTTAACTTCAGAAATTCAAGGATTTAGTATGCAGTGTGTTTGAATATTCTGATCATCAGCGAGCAACAGGTCATCAAAAACACAAGAAAAAAGTAAACGAGTTGAAAATTTTTAACAATTCAAAAATGAAGGACATTAACTAATTGACATAAAAATATGCCTTTATTACAAAGAAATTATCAGGTGTGGCTTATTGAATTTTGTAAACATTTTAAAGATCAGTTGTCATTTGATTCATACGAATTGACTAAAATTAAATTGGTCAGAGCACTGCCAAATAGGTTACGAAATATACGTAAACATTGTTCTTTTAGCAGCGGATTCCAAATATTATGCAAAACAGAATGTTTCTCAATCGTTTTGAATTTACCCCTTACAAACGGATTCAGAGAGAACAACTTTCCATCATCTTATCATTGGTATGGATGGTTGTCAATAACCGAGATACAAGGAGCCCCCTCCCCCCAAAAAAATTTAGCAACATAGGAAAATATTTTTATGCTGTAAAATATAGCTATTGTTACACAAATTTATCAGGGCTGCCCCCCTCTCAAACAAAAATTTGTAATTTGTAAATTGTAAGTCTTGCAGTTAACTTACCTAGGCCATATAACCATCCGTTTACCTCATTCTTCTTAAACTCTTCATAGCCAATGACGTACCAGACACAGGCAAACCAGTGACCAAGCATTGCAAAAGAGAACATCAAGAGACCAAGCAGCGCTGCAGTGTATTCAATGTAACGGCTGATTCTGCGTGCAATGCGAAATAACCGCAACAGACGACCGGTTTTTAACAGGGATACAAGAAAGCCCTTTAATAAAAGAAATGAGGCTGGTGTTAAGATCTTGCCGTTCATTTCAAATAATTTGGTGCCAGGCAAAGGTATACAGGAGGGTTATTATTAGGCTGTATTAGATTTGAAATTGAGATGTTTTGTAAAGCCTGCTGAGGGTCTCCAAGGGGGGAGGGTACTTGTTCCTGTGTTCTCGTTAATAACAATGCTCCACTGTTTCCTTAAACTAGTAACAATGTTCCACTGTTTCCTCAAACTAGTAATAATGTTCCCATGTTCCCAATGGAAAATTTAATTTGTTCCTATGTTCCTGTACCATTTATTGCCATGTTCCCTTGTTCCCAAAAATCTCTTGGAGACCCTCCTTGCTATAAGGGCCATTCTGCCAAGAAAGGGAGCAAATGATTTTTGCTTCTGTTTACTGGACCTATATTGCAATGCTTTCTGCAGTTACCTGAAGTTTTATTATTGCAGCAATGAGATTAACAGGAAACTCAAGATCAGCCACTCGAAAAGACAGCTCTCTTAATGTACAATCTAGATTCGGGCTTTTGCTCAGGTAATAAGCTAGCTAACCAGGAGAGATGCTCAATTTCCTTGGTGAGCAATGTATAAGGGATTTAACTACAGGGCAAATACTAGACAGCGGATTTGACATAAAGTAGAATTTTCAGCTAGAATTCCTTATCTATCTAAAAGCTCTAGAATCAAGCTGCAATTTTTTCCCTTAAAGGTATTATCTTAACGAAAATAGTGATTGGCCTTTGAACCTCATCTGTTTCAAATGCACAAAAATGCTATGGTTTAGAAACTTAAACTGAAGTTATAGAAACTGAATTGTCTTTAAACCAGCATTGTTTGACGAACTATGAAAAAGGTTTCTTTCTGTTAGTCCTCTTTTGCTATTTATAATGTTAAGGGTAGAGGAGGGGAGCAGGGTTATAACAAAAGAAAAACTATTTCAAATACTGTCTACTCGCTCTATTCACTAGTATAGGGTTGCGGGGATAACTCTTTTGCTAAAGATAGCATCTAGAGTTGCCATCGCTCTTCCAAGCAAGGATGTCTCTTACTGCATTTTTAGATTGTGGGGAACTATGTCAAACTCATCTCTTGTTCCCATCTTTCATTATAACTGCTTCTGTGACGTTGGCTCTAACGGGGGTTTGAGCCCCCTAAACGTTGTGAAAATCCTTTACTTTCAATGAACAACCCCAATTTTTTCTATTTTTCTCATGGTGCCTCCTACGGTACTGATTGGTTGATCGGATTGTAAATGAACAACACCATACTTGAGAAAAAAACGACACATGATTGCTTTTAAATATTAGGGGCGCGCACACACAGTATTTTAGCTGTTGATGGAGAATGTTTTAAGCACATGCAACAGCTTGAAATTTTGCGGAGGAAGTGTAATAGTTCGTCACGCTAAAGTCAAGCTGATCATGCGCCTAAAATGGTCTTTCTTTTGAATTATTCATTGATGAAACCATTTGAACATTGTTACAGATTATGGTTGGATATGATGCAAAACAGTCATTTCAGGCTTAGAAGAGAAAACACAAATGGGGAGGGATGACACCTGTGTAAAGAGTTGCTATATGAGATAGAAACACCAATAGTAGGGGTAGAGAGACAGCTCTATGTAGTGCAGACAAGCAGGATGTTTTGTCATTAAGGGGGTTAGCCTTTTCGAGTCATCTCGCTATCTTTAAGGATCTTGTTTGTAAACTCTTACATACTATTTTCAATATAATTGCTCTATAGCAGACAAACATGTCGAAATATCATTCCTAGAGACTGGGTACGAACGGTGTATAAGAACGTTTTGAATAGTTGCTAAGCAAACTGTTTACATTGATTGTCTAATACAATCATTTGGACGAGTGTACGATGGTGTGTCATCTCTGATTATCAAATTATCATTATTATTATTATTATTATTATTTCTACCCCTAAGTATCTAGTATTGAGTTATCAATGCGTAAATCACGGATATAAAGTGCCTCAAATCCAAGCAGCTTTGAAATTTACTGAACTGTCTGCCTTTTCCTTTGTTAAATCAAGCATTTAACTGTCAGTTTAAGGATTGGTTAAGGCAGGAAAAGGAAAAGGCAGACAGTTCAGTAAATTTCAAAGCCGCTTGGATTTGAGTTTAAAACTGATTACTTTTTGAGCAAAAATTAGAGAAATGAGCTACTGTTGTCAAAGTCGGAGGCTAATTCGGTTTCATTTTAAGCTAGCCATCTTATTTGAGTTCTAATGAAAGAAAACTATTTCAATTCAAACTAGCACGAGATTGATAACGATTTATTAGTAAGAGATGGTAAGCATGACTATACTTACCCAAGAATGATCAATGAAATACAGTGCCTCAAAGGGAAGAGCAGCCAAAAAGTCGACGATAAACCATCTTTTGAGATAATGCAGTGCAATCATCTTCTTCTGTGTTATAATTCGACCTGACTTTTTATCAATATAAGTGGTGCGAAAGTTGATAAAAATGTCGACGATGAAGAAAATTTCAACAATACAGTCAGCAATTATAAGCTCTTTTCGGTGGTCGTGAGCCTTAAAGGCTACGTTGAATGGCACCATAATGGCAATATAGCACACCAGTACCAGAATTATCCAGTCCCAAATCAAACGCGGTCTTCCGAAATGGAGAATCATGAATTTTGGTAGTTTTGCGTTCTCTAATTTGTACTGCGGGATAAACGACGATGACTCTCCAACCTGAAACAAAAGAGAGATAGTTTCGTTCACAAGTCGATAAGCTGGTCCCGCAGGTGATTACTTTCCGCAGGTGACACGCGAGCATCTTGAATATTGATGATTGAATGTTTAATGCAGATGCAAAAATGGCGAAGATGGAGACCTTTAATTACATTGAATTATAATAAAAGACTCAATGACAGTTTTGAAGTGATGTCTGCTTCAGTACTGCAAAAATGTGCTTTGTAGCAAGGAAATCGGGCAAAAAGAAAGTCGTGAACAATTATTTTGGTAAATGGTAACAATGGACAAATTGAAATATTTCATGAAGAGAGCACTTGAGTGATGACGTCATTAAAATGTATATCTAGAAATCTTGAATTTTGATCTCATTACTTGAAAAACATCGTGAAATACCGCTAAAGAGGAGAAATCATTGGAGGGTATTACGAACTTTAGAACTCTATTGTCCTCGTTCATAAGACTCGATTTGTGTTTCTGATATTAGTCGGAAAGACGTAGGTACTAGAGGGTGTGCCCCCATTTTCAAAACGCTCTCCAGTTCTATGATTAAACTTATCATGCATTACATTCAATCTCAACAAAATCCGTTTAAACCATCAAAGACTATTCCTTCATTATTATTGAATGTTTACGTCACACTACATTTATGTCATTTAGAAATTGAATATTAGTGTAAAAATCAAGTTAAAAAAAGAGAAGGAGTTGCAGTTTACAAGAGTTGACGGCTTTAGCCTGAATCTTAAATGCAACAAATTGTGATCTTATAAGGAATTCCTACTTGTGGAGATTTGATGAAAAAGAACCTATTCTTACTCGGACACTGCTGAGAGCAAGAACGAGAACAAAAAGGTTGAAAATTCTCCATTGATCATTATGGGGGACGATGAAAATAATCATAATCAACATATCAAAATAATCAACAAAAATTACCAAAACAACAAAAAGGGACTGTAAACAGATACCATTAAAATTAATTTTAAAATAATTCTGTAGTTGTTAGTAGGGAATCGTGGAACAAATAGAAATTTTAGACCCTTAGTAGGGAATTCCCCCAAAAGTTTGTGTGTTAAAAGTCACCTCAATGTGCAAACATTATTCTGGTTGACAGGAATGTTTCAAAGAACAGAAGCTCGACAAATGAAATTCAACAATAAAACAATGATGGCTATACGTTGCTTTTAATAAATAAACGAAAGAGGCGAAACAATTATTTTAAAAATTGTAAACCATGAGTTGGCACTCGGAGAGAAAACATTTTTTCTAATTTTCGGAGAGAAAACATTTTTTCTAATTTTCGGAGAGAAAACATTTTCGGAGAGAAAACCTATTCTTTTCTAAAAGACAGTGACAATTTAATTACCCATTTCATAAGCACAATAATCTGTACAACAGAAGCAGAACTTTAAGATGGAATGGAGAGTCAGCCGGCACTTACTCCTTTTTAGCAAATGGAGATAACGATTGAAGGGAAACTGGTGAGTCAAAAAAGCAAAGACATTTCTAATCTGATTAAATACTTTATAGTTGACTTAGCCCAACAGCTAAAAACCTAAAATATGCAGCTGCTGAAACTTTTGTTCGCAGTTTACATGTCAGGCACGTGTTAGGATGTGGCGAAATACAATGAAACATGGATGGTCATAACCTCAAAATCTATCATTTGAATGTAAACAAGAGTTCCTGCCACTAAATGATCTGTTTTTCTTGATAGAAGAAGAATAGCTTGAGGAGGCAGCTTGTTTCACGCCAGGGCGGTATGAGCCCCGCAATAATTGTCAAACTGTAGTATGTTTCCTTTATAACAATGTACTAAATGAGAAGGAAAACAATTGGCAGCCCCCCAAATATGGATTTCGTTCCGACGGCACTGTATGGTTAAGACGCAAGGGTATTGAACAATCTATCTTCCAGTTTTAAAAGCAACTCAACCGCTCATAAACAGACCTACCGGTTTAACAAAACTGCCCACTTTTATATTCAATGAATTACGAAATGGCTTTGAAAAAAGCAAACAGTAAAGTTGAATTGAACTGGGGGACTAAGTCTTTGTATTATTAGAAAAAGGATTTTCTATTTTAAACAAACGGCCCAATGTTTTAAACAAATATGTCACACTGGGACCGGAGAGACAAATGTCCTCTAATTAGAAGGCCAAAAACCCCGTTAATTTGGCATGGACAAAAAAAACTGTTGAAAACTGGGGGCTGGAGGCGTGACCGGGGGCGTGGTCCTCTCTGGTTTCAAAATTTGACGGATTTTCGGAAAAATCATTGTTGTGTCGGAAAATTTTTAAAACTTGAGCTGTGAGTAAAACCGAAAAGTGAAACGAACTTCTTAGCGACGTAAATTACCTGAACGAAAGTACTTTCCATATTATCGAGGTGCAATTCACTTTTGAGTAAGGATATACCGATTTCAACTATAGAGTGATTTGTACCCTGGGTACCAGAGCCTCATGAATCCGGGGATACAGTATTTAGTACTTGTGCCAGCCTGTATTTAGTCTAAAATTCACTTTATACATTTGAGTAAAAAGATAAAGAACTGTAATGAGACTCGTTTTCACAAGACTGAATTAACGGACTGACAGGCAAAGCACACCCAATTGTTAAATGGATACGTTCCTTAGCCGGAATGGTTTTAGTTTCTTAGCCGGAATCAAATCTTCTCAGCAATCCACTCTTCAGCGCAAAAGTCAGACGCTTTTGCAATCGTAGCCAAGTAGTTCCAATTACGACCACTTAGCCAAGTAGTTCCAATTACGACCCCCTTAGCCAAGTAGTTCCAATTACGACCGTTTAGCCAAGTAGTTCCAATTACGACCACTTTAACAGCAGAAAAGAGCACAATTTGGAACCGGAACTAAATAGTTCCGCCATTTCAGGTAAACCGAAGAAGAACGAAACTGTCCCAAACAAAAACGGAAACAAGAATTAAAGTGCAAATGCGAAGCTTTTACGCAATTTCATGCACAGAATCATTAGAACAGTTTTTCACTTGATTTAACTAGGCTGAGAGACAGAAAAAATTGAAGTCTAAAAAACAAACTTGAAATTAGCCTGGAAGTGAGTCTTGGATTAAATTGTTTCTGGAGAGAAAACCTTCTCCTCTTTGGAAGGGTGTCACAAAGTGCTTGCCTATTCCAGAATTCAAAGGATATTCTCTTAGCTTTGGTTCCCTTTGAGAGAACTGTAGATTAAAGATAAGATCTTGTTGACATGAAATTTGATATGAACCCCGGGGTTTTGAGCTCACAACGTTAAATACAGAGCAAGATTAATAATCTGTTTCTAAATGGGAATTAAAAAACATTAATGTAAAAATCTCTGTCTGCTGTGGCTTAGCGTTTTAGCGACTTTTGTAATCCTTCCTATCATCAACGATTGTTGTTTTTAATAAAAACGTGCCTATAATCGTTTTTTGTCGCAAGTTCCCGAGCTCATCTAATTTAGATGGTTCAAAAACAAACATCAAGCACATCTAAATATAATCTAAAACTTTTTTCAAAGTAAAATTAAAAAGCTTAGCAGATTACAATTGCTCTTCAATATTAGGATTGCTCTATGCCTTACGAAACTGGCAATGAGTATCAAAAAGTTGGAAATAATTATTTGCTAAAAATTAAAGATTTGGCTGCAACAAAAAACATAAGAGCAAAATTACCATAATTGATATTTGCCAGATTTCTTAACGCCTTCCTTTGACTTGTTTTCATAAGAAATTTGAAAACTCGAAGCATTGGGATACCTCTCCAATAAATTTTTTGTAATACTTTGAGGACTTCAATGTTCGGTGCTTAAAATCCATTTTTCTATCATCCCTCACTATTTATGCACATATCTATAAATTCTTGAGTTGAAACTTAAGTATAATTAACAGCGAGTGATTTAGCATTTGTTTGATGGCAGATGTGAAACTTCCAACAACTTCCTTTCAAAACAAGAAGCCAGAAGTCTTAAAGAATGCCAACTTTTCTAGTTTTTTTATGATTTATGTTCAAATGCTTGAAGGTTCTATGTTGAAAACGCCTGTTGACTGACTCTTTGGCATCTTTTATTGTCATTCTCGTAGCCCTCTTGAAGAATCACAAACTAAGTATGATATAAATGTTTTTGCATATTATTTAAAACTACTATAAAAAGGTGCCAATTTGTCTAATGCCTCCCAAAATGTGTTCCGGCATCCCTTAGCCCTACCCTGGGTACCAGACCCGCTAGTGTAGCAATCCCGTCAACTTAAACAAGAAGGATCAATCTTACTGGTAAAGTTATGACAGCGGTGGTTACATGCAGGAGATTGGAATTACTATAGCGTCAGGAAAGCATATAGGCCTCCAAAAACTCGCTATGCTAATTCATCAGTAGAGGCTTTGCCTTAAACAATTTGCTAGGCTTAACAAATTGAAAAGGCATGCAACAGGTTCAATTTTTGGAAACAATTAAATATGCCTTCTAGACGTCAAGAAACACAACATTGTGATATTTTAGAGCAAGCGTTCACATTAATCTCGCAGAAAGAAAAAGGATAGGCTAAAGCAAGAGACAGCTCCTATCACATCAGCTTTCATCAAGCTATGACCTTATGAAAAGCCCTTTTAAAGGCTTTGTCCAGCTGAATAATCCTTTAGATGGCTATAAAGATTACACGTATTTGGCCCGGGCGTACTCAAAATAAATTCAGCTGCACTGTGTTGTATTTGTACTCAAAAGAAATTCACTTCTGCAGGAATACCAAGACTTGCTGTATGTACGTCAAGTGAGTGTGTTGTACTGGCCTTACTAACGGAAATTAACTGTGCAACCGCCAAGTTTTCTAAGCTCAAAGTCTAGTATAACGAAGCTAAATCTAAACTATCAAACTATATAACCAATCAAAACCAGATTTAGGATAATTATAGCAACTATTTCAGCTAAATTCAATCTAGCATTACATCAATTCACCCTGAAAAAACTTAACCTAACCTAACCTAACCTAACCTAACCTAACCTAACCTAACCTAACCTAACCTAACCTAACCTAACCTAACCTAACCTAACCTAACCTAACCTAACCTAACCTAACCTAACCTAACCTAACCTGTACCTAACCTAACCTAACCTAACCTAACCTAACCTAACCTAACCTAACCTAACCTAACCTAACCTAACCTAACCTAACCTAACCTAACCTAACATAACCTAACCTAACCTAACCTAACCTAACCTAACCTAACCTAACCTAACCTAACCTAACCTAACCTAACCTAACCTAACCTAACCTAACCTAACCTAACCTAACCTAACCCTAACATACCTAACCGGACCAGAGCAAACATAAACGTCAAAACTTACAAATCTCAATTTTTATGATCTTATTTAGTTATAAATGGTTTGTTTTTGACTAAAAGAGGAGCAAAACAAACGGATACATGGTATGCTTCGCCTTGTCAGCAAATGTTCCTTTTAATCTGACGTGATCTCAAAGCCTCCTCTTGTATATACAATATATCCCTTTTTGTGATGTTAAAGGAAAAGAGAACATGTTTATGAAAGGATGATCATACCTGAGCGACATTCTGGCAGATGATGTCAATGTATGCTTTCGTGTTATTTAAGAAAATTCAGGACTTTCTACAACATTTAACCATATGGCTAAGAAGATATTTTTAATCAAATTGCAACTCTAGCAAAACTAGAGCAGCTGTTCTTTTTGTGAGGCCATTTTATGTGCAGCATGCGGCTATTCATACTCTTAACACCCAGGGGATCACTTGAACATTTCATATACAGGGGGGTCCACCCGATCATTATGGCCAAGCATGTTCTTTTTGATCTGATACTTTTGGGTAACTCACTTAACAATACACCTTTTTGATACTCATGGGTCCACATAACAAATTTTCAAAAAGGGAACAAAAGAACAGATGTATCTAAACTGATTATTTTAGGAAACTTTCTAAAATATTACGACTGGTAGTCTCTTATGTGCTAAACAGGAAAAATTTGCATTTTGATACTTTTCGGGTCAAAAATTTTTAGCTGATAATTTCAGGTCAGTTGAATTTGGTTTTGATGATTTTAGGTGAATTTTTATAATTGCGGATGGATCTTCCCGTATATAAAAAGTTTAAGTGACTTTTTTGGGTCCTAACACTAGCAGGCACACACCAGCTTTTTTAATTATACACTCTTTTTTTATAAGGACAATTTTATAAGAACCCGAGCCTCAAAACTAGTCTAAAGTTAAGAACAAATTAAGAACAAGGTGAGGCTGAGCTTCTGCAAAATGCAATTTTGAACAACGTTTTTTCTCAAAATCGTGGATTTTTAGCGATGTGTGGGTGCTTTTTCGGTGAATATTCAAATTTGTCAGCAAATTAAGGCTGTCTCACTCACTTTGTTGGCAAATGAGGCCTGAACACCTCTTTAGAGCGCAATAGCACTGCTTACACCTTCTTAATTTAAGAACAAATTAAGAACAATCCAGCCTCAGATTTTCGAAAAAATTAAGAACAGTCAGCCTGAACTTAAATTTACTGGTTCTTAAAAAAAGAGTGTACTACACAAGCTCTAGATCATTTGTAGACGAGCAACTGCAAGAAAAATTTGAAGCTTAATAATCTGCACTAGTATGAAGAGTTAGTTAAGGATTTGATCAGAGGCGATTTAGAACTTCGCAAAAGGCATTTCTTTGAAGAAAAGTAAAAAAAATGCGAGATTAAAATAAAATCCGCGAACAGCGCTGTTTTTAGATTTGAAGCTGTATAAGCAAGACTTCTTGAAGACTGTTTCTTGATCAACAGCACCTCGTTATTTCCCTGTAGTTAAAAATAATTGCCCAGGGGCCTAAGGATGTAACTTGGTAACAGGACGTAACTACACAGATAGCATGCAAGCAAATAAAACGAGGGATCTAAACAAAACTGCTTTTAATCTTACTTGGCAAAACATCATGAAAGAAGTGTACTCACTGGTCACAAAAATTTTAGGCAAAACAAAAAGCGGCTTTCGTGTGAAAATATAATCTAATAAGAAATATTTTGCGGCATTTTGAAACCATCAAGTAATAGATTACTGGTTCCTTGTTTTGATTTCAACTAATGATGCCATTCTAATTTCTTTTTTTTGGCCTTTTGCAAAGTGTTTCAGAACAAAATTTTTCTGATTAATGTAAATCTGTTTTACTAATCCAATTAATGATCTTTGAGTAACATTGTGAATTTCTTTTACTAGGATACTAGCAAACTATACTTGATTATGAAAATCGTGATTACTAATATAATTAAAATAATTGATGATATACTTTTTCTATGAATAAATTTGTTGTAGTTGCTCGGTACAACACAGGAAACTCTCGACGATTTTTCTTTTGCAATGACAGTTTTTTTTAGGTTTCTTAGTGTTTCTAATGAAATACAGCACGCGTCAAGTAAGTTTGAAAGTATAAACAAGTTCAAAGGTATAAGAAATTATAAAATTAGTTAAATTTCAAGCACCTTTTGTCTAGTTGGTTTAGAATGGGCAATATCTGGAAACTGTGGTCTGGTTTTGTATATAAAGATATTAGTTCGCAAAATTTGTAACTATAGAATATTTTTTAAAAGAATGTGAGCCCTTAAGGGTCAATAAAATATTTTTAAAGATAACAACGAAAGAAAAATTTGTTAGAAGTAGAGCCAACAGTAATCAGATATTGTCGATATTTTTTTCCTTGCTTGAACAGGTATGTACATGGCGGGTTATAAGTACGATTTAAAAGTGATATCAAGGCAAATATTCTAGAGTAGAAGTCAAACAGATGTCTCATGTAATCTATGGCAACAACTATTTTTCCATCAACGACACATGAAGGAAATTCATGGCTTCAACAAAGAGACGATTCATCAACTTTCTTACAGACTTAAGTGGAAGCAAGTTCAATAACATTATGAAAAATTAAATGTAAGGAATTATGCACGTTGGCTTCAAGCTTACTGACCACGGAAAATTCTGAAGAAGAATAAGCTCTTAGGCCTTTTAGTGATAACATATAATCATTTCAAACAGTGTGTGCTGGAGAGCTAGGTTGTAAAGTTCTCCTCTTTCAGTACGTAACTTGATTAAGAAATACTGCTTTAGATACGCTCTGAAATAAAAACCTTGGTTTGCCTATCAGCATGAATCTTACGATAATGATAATGGCCTAAAAATACATTGCTGAGGTAAGTGTCGTTTTCCATTGAAAACTGGTTCGATTTTAGTCAAGATTTCAATGCATTTAGCTATACAATGGCGACATTGCATGCAAATACTTGTTTAAAGATGCAAATTGCGATATCGTGATAGATAGCAGAATAAAGGCGTCAGAAAAACTTTTATTCCCGCGTCTCTTAAGAAATTTTTGCTCTTAACAAGGTTGGGGATCATTGAAACCACTGTTATGTTATCCAATGAAACCAGCGTTATGTATGAAACCATTGAAAAACAAACTTACGGGAATGAAAACCGAAGAACGACGAGCGAGCCTTTTCCAGGCCGACTTTCTCGGACCATTCATCGCGACGTTTACTGTTCCCATGACAAGATGATGTTGAATTCCTTGAGAAGTTATACCCTTTCTTCGGGTTTTCGCACCACCATAGGAAAGCATATCTTCAACGGTTGAAAATCAAGCAACCAGTACGACAGCCTCTTTCAACCAATGCCACCATCTAAAATCACACTTCCCATGTACAGCTACTTGTTCCTTCAGCCAATTTGATGAACGATATCATATAATCCAGCACAGCAAAAATCACTTCATTAAACAAGATAACATTGCGCGAAAACAGCCACCCCTTTTAGCAGTACCATATGAAATTTACTTGAACATGGCGTGTTAATTCTCCGTCATATTTTCAGATATTTTTCGTAAAGGTGATTTATTGCGAAAACAATACATCAAGTTAAGAAAAAGCAAACATGTTGCTTCTCAATTTCGAGCAAGTCATTGCTTAAAAACATGACCCCGAATCAATTCTTCTGAACTCTGTAAAAGTTGATTGCAAAACAAACAGATAAGTTGAAAACAACTGCTGGCCGACTATCGTTGCGACCACGTGGCTAGAATAGCGTAGAAACGACCATTTGTTCACTTCAAGCTACGTAACCTGCCTGCCAGTTCTGCTTATTAAAAAGCGTATGGTTATGGCAGCGACGCTCAGATAACCTGCAAATGCGATTTAACAAAAAATCAATTGTATTCATTAGAAACTTGTATCATGAACTCCATCAGCTGTTTCTCATGAGAATCTCATACTTTCTTCAAAAGCTTCAGTACTTTGAAGAACTCTTTTTCATAAATGTTTACAACCCGACATCGTGGGAGCTGAACTACGAGTAGACGAGAAGAAAAAATGGCGTACGGCTGAACATGAATCAATTTATGTCGAATGCTTTCGCCAGTACAAGCACTCTGTTGGCATTTTTATGACAAGAACAGCAACCACCTCAAGCGTCTTTAAATCAAGTACTTTCACCTGTAATTAGAAAATCATTTGAAAGCGAACGGGGGCTGCTTCGTTAATCTCAGTGATATTGCTATAACGTGAGGAAATCATCTACTGCCAATACGGGGGTGCACAGTAGAAGCCAATGCAGAACATCATACACAAGTCGCAAAACTTTCAAACAGGTCTCAAAGTTATGATGTTTCCGTGTAAGATTTGTGCACTTAATCCTATTTTGGAAATGACGGGGGAGGAATTGCTTTGTTGAAAGTAAAGCAATATAAGACTATATGAAGTGTTCAAACTGTAAGAGTGTATCGTATTTACTGACAATATCACAAAAAGTATCTTTATTTGCAGAGTTTAATTGTTGTTCTAAGCCGTTTGGGATAATCAAACCATTCTTCATTCAAAAACAGCTTGAAGAATAACTATTATAATGCTAAAATCTTATTATTTCGTACTTTTCAATGCAATAATTTGTCAACCTTTTGGAAAATTGTTCGTTTGTTTCTAACAAAAAACATTTCTTGTACTTTACGAAAAAACAATGTTCAAATCATATATTGCTATTCTCTCATCACAACGTTTAATAACAGAAAAAAATTAACTTATCAAAGTAAAAAAATATTGGATAGGTTCAAGGACGATACCCAGCTCGCGAAACATAATATTAGTATTATAATATTCATGCACAATCCATTATATCCTTTGTAAGATTAGTACCCCGATTTACCGATTCAGGTCTCGGGGGTACCTCCATCATTTCTGTGCTACACAAAGTTATTTTACAAGCTTATTGAAGAATTCATTTATTTAGATTTATTTAGACTTATTGAAGAAGGAATTTACTTGCAAAATATTCATAGCAAATGACAGAACCTAAGGAGATTATAAAGAGTGAGGTTCACAAATCTTCTATGCTTTTTCGTATAAGACTTGATCGTATATGAGGTTTTACATTAATTTGCATTGGATAATCCTTTTTGAAATTCAACTTCATGGTTGATTTAAGTTTTTAACATTTTGATGAAACCTGATCAAACAAGAGTGCATCTCATCACCTTAAAGAGATCAACCTTTTGTATGGGTATTTGATAAAAATGTTTATTTCTGAAGATATGTCATTCAGTCTTTGCTGCCTTTTAATTCTGCAACGAGCCAAAAATGTTGTACTTCGAAATTCGACAGAATTCAAACTGTTTATTAATTTCTCAGCTTATAGCAACATTATCCCTGATATCAAGTATTTGGGATTCACCTAGTCAGACACCTGTCACATCAAAAAAGACTCGCATCCTCACATCCAAAACATATACCTTTGAACGAACTAATCACAGAAAGTCAAAGTTATATTTACATATAAGTTTTAGGTTATTGGACTAATCACAATTTGCATATTTACATAAAGTTATATATCGATTTAGGTTATTGGTTGTTGGTAGGGTTCTAGGGGATTCGAGCTATCGGGAGTTTTCTGTGGTTTATCTTAAACGGGCGTTTTCTGCTAGATGGGGCCCGTAAATGGTAAATTGGACTCATTGTTTATAAAAGCAAAGATTTTGTATTGCTCTTTGGTATGTATTGCTGCTGCTAGCGCTCCTCGGTACTAGTCCTTAAGCAATGCAACAAAATGCAAAGGGTCGAGCTGCTGCAAGTTTGCCTTAATCTAGGGACCGCAGAGAGAGGCTATAGATGGTAATGGGCCTGAATTGTACAACCTATAACAAAAATATTGAAACCACATCCTTGTGTAATATCACAAGCTTCAAGTAATATAAAACATATTTGCTTTGTTGAGCTCTAAAGATACTTCATATATATAAGACTTTCAAGACGAGCCTCAAATATCTAGGAGTGTTGAAAGAAAACGAAAAATCCAAAAGAAAAATCCAAAAGAAGTTTCCAACCATAAAAATTGTAAACCACGTCACCTCAGTACCTTTTGTAAACTTCATGAAGCCACCTGTATCTCAAATTTGCAATCTTTGCAGAAATCAGTCTGTTCTACTTGAAGTTAGAAGCTACTTTTCGGCTAAGGATACACAGAGTTTATCCAAATAGGCCTACATTGTGTTTTCAATCGTTCAAAGACTGACGATCTTGCCTCCAAAATAACTAGCTGTATTATTCCCAGGGTTGCAGGCTAAAAAGGGATCCAGGAGCTCTAGCTTGGTTGAACTAAAATCGATTTGCATCGTATTTGAGAAAGATATAGTAATTCGAGACTTTTGGGTGTTATAGGATTGAAGAATCTTAAAGTGTTTCTTATGCTGCTTTGGCAAAGTTCTGGAGTAATTTTATGACCGTTGCGGTCAAAATTACTAGGGGTGCTGAGACACTAAAGCATGAATGTCTGGGAAAGTCAGAGAAGCTCAAACTAAGCCAAGGAAACTCAAAGAAATCCTGTTGACTTTGAAAATCAACAGCTGTGATTGACCGACATTAGTCAGAGCATGCGCAAAAAGGACGGTTCGAAAATACCAACAATTAAGGTAAAACTGTGATAGTAATTCAAAGCAAGGGCCAACAATAGTTTTCTTAGAAACAAAACCACGTTAATTGTTAATATAGGTTTTGTATCATGATATAACACCAAACATTATACGATATAACACCAAACCATATACTATAAATTCATTTACAAGGTTTGATGGGAGTATAGACTGTCTCCAACCTTTGAAACACAGCCACTCCTAATTTGCCAATTGAAAAAATCAGTGGCTGTTTTAAACATCAATTTTAAATCTGGCTTTGATTTAATATGATTATCCACTTAATATTCATTAGTACAGACGTATCACTTAATTGTGGAAAGGGAAAAAATGTAAGCAGGTTTTTAAAAAGTTTAATGAGTATATTTTTAATTACATTGCATGCACTCTGTTAGTTGGTTTAATAGAATGAGCCACTTGAAGCATAGTTGATTGTCGAGGATTATAAAAGCCACGAATAATTTTATTGTATATGATACACAAGCAAATTTGAAGCTAGTAACTCAAATCAGAGCTTTAAGATTTGATTGCAGATTTAGGATTTGATCATGGAATGACTCGCTCTCTATCTATAGCTTCTAGCACTAAGGAAGAGATTAAGGCTTCAAGAAACTGCTTGGCTCTGCAAGTAATCGGTTCAGATGGAGCCTTTGCGGCAAAAAACAGACACTGCCGGGACTAGACGTACCAGTAAATTGTTTAGCATGCAAGGATAATCTTTTGATTTAAAACATTCATAAATATTAAATGGCGGTCAGAGGTAATGTTTAACACAGTAAAAGCATGCGATTCAGCTAGAAATGGCAGAGTTTATTGCTAAAACAGAACTCAAATCACTAGCATCAGTCTTTGCATACTAACATAAAGGAAAAGGTCGACTACAACTATTCCTCTTGAGGGTTTAATATTAATGAAACGACATTATTTAAGCATCACTTTATTATTGAAGACCCAC